TCTCGCGTGTCATTGGCTAACGTCTGCAGATTGCAAATCATGAAAAATAAATGAGTTGCTTTTTAAACGACTTTTACTGCAAAACCTATTAAAGAAGAAGACTTTGTTCATAATTTATTCGAGTTCAAAAGCGGAATGATTGTAAGTCCAAGCATTATTGGCAGGCTCTCAGGGGGTTACCCCCTTTTCCATTTTAACACAGATGCTCATCCCAACTGAAAGAAACGGGACAAAGGGGGCATGTTGAGGGGGCAAAAGAAAACTGTCAAAGCGTGGAATTATTCCGCATGTAAGATCAATTAGGTGAGACGAACGAGTGAGTCACTCGACCTGCCACGACCGTACCCGGCGCAAACTCCGTACTGATTTCGTCGCCTTGTGCAAAACCAAGGGCGTAAATTCAGGGGGAAGATGGGGTATACATCCTGCATCCCCCCACATACTTCTGAGGGACTCGGAGCGTGTTGGTCTGTATAAGATACATCCCACTTTTCAAGGGGGCGGTTTTGAAGTTGTATCAGTTGTTGAAAAATTTGGCAATTTATAATAATAATTACAGTGCTTATATAGCGCCTAACACTTACTTTGTCAGAAGTCTCTAAGCGCTCTACAATAATGCAGCATAATTACCCTGGCTTTAGCAGTGCAGCTGTTACGCGCGCTGCGTTTCAAGGAATAAATTCCTACCAGGTACCCATTTACTTCACCTGGGTGGAGTGTGGCAAATGTAGATCAATGTCTTGCCAAAGGACATTAGTGCAGCGGCGGGACTCGAACCGCGGACCTTGTGATCGACAGTCCGGCGACGTATCCACTTGACCACAACACCTCCTTTAAAGATACCATGTCCCTTTTGCAGCCAACCTTAAATTATGTAGAAGTTGCAGGAATTATAAATATTTCATGTATGTCCTATCTGTGAAATTTAAACGTTAGCAGTGTCCTAATATTCAAATTATGCAAGGAAACCCGTTTAATTGCTAGACTTCACTGTCAGACACTATTGTCAGTATTGAGTGACTGACTGGCTTTTTCTTCTTCTTTGGTAATAACATACATAAAATGAGCTGTAAAGGATTTGTCTACATCATTAACCCACTTCTTGAAATGGCCAGAATTAAACTGATTGAATCTTTGCGCAGCATAATGTACGACCATGCGGTACAATGGTCTGAAAATCAAGACTATTATTTATTGGCTCTATAGCTCCTAAGTCGATTTGACAACTAATAGTCGTTATTTTTCTACTTAAAGACATTTTCAAGCCCCATTTTCTTAAGGGGAGTTCTAAATAAGTATTATCTTTCAAATGCCATTGAAATGTAACCTTTTCATTTTTTTGGCCTGCAAAAGGGACATAGTATCTTTAATGACTCTTATGAGTCGTGAACATTTCTGTTTCTAAATGCTAGCTGTTACGCCATACTCATTATCATAATAAGTTTTTAACGTTCTAAATGGGGCCGATGTTGTTCTTGTTGATTTTCTTTTTCTTCATTTCGTTTTCTTTTGGTTTTGGTTGTCGTTTGTTGTTATTTTCTCAACAAATTTAGCATCCATCATGTCCATGGCCATTATGTTCGCGCGAGAAATCTCGCCCTCTGATTTAGATTCCCCCCCCCCCCCCCCCCTCGTCCTCCTCGTCCTCCTCCTCCTCCTCCTCCTTCTCGGATTTACGCCACTCGTGCGAACCATGTGCTGAGGAGGAGAGATCCTGAAGGAATAATGGTGCATGAATGAATGGGTGCAATGTTCTCAGACAAGACGTTGCTGAGATGCTGAGTGGTGCACATGCATGATGCGGTGTGAGGTGAAATTTACATAGAGGGAAGAAAAGGAAAATGTCGATTGCATCCGCTTTGTGACATGCATGGAAAGCATCACTAAGTCTTAGTCATTGGACGGTATCTATGAATGATTAGACTGGAATGTTACAAGGGCATTTCCGAATTTCGTGAAGTTAATTTGCAACATGGAGGGAATGGAGGGAAATAGTCAGTGGCGAAGATACGGGGGATGGGGGGGGGGGTCACTTCCTCTTGGAAATCAAGGCGAAAAGAGAGAGGTCAACATAATGACTTTTTTTATTTGTTAAGGGGGAGAACGGGAATGTTTACGAAGATTAAACGAACTCCTCCATCACCCCTAATGTCCAACCAATTATCTTATTATTTCGCATTTAATTGATTCACCGAGTAAGAGATGACCCACCCCCTCCATTATTCTACCTGTTTTATTATCATTATCTTCTAATTCACAAAAAGTCATGTTCTGAAGTCTTCTTCTAATAATCTATAGTGTCATGATTATTTTGATAATAGTTGACATTTGCTTTAACACTTATGAATAGGCCTACTTCCTTATGTAAACTTTTGAACGCACGCTTTATCCTCTATATCTTGTTTCGAATTCTGTCGTCGTTTTAAGTTGGCCGGAGCATCCTGTACCCATCCCAAGGTTCCCATCTTCATCTTTCTAACATTCTCCCTTTAATGTAACCCCCCCCCCCTCCCTTTCCTGGCCCCATGTCTCGTGGTTCTATATTAGTCATTCGTGCCCAACTCATCCATTATTGTGAGATGCAACATGTTCCCATTGCGTTCACAGCCAAGACCACATACATTATTCCGCCTCGTGCAGGCACATTAGTGAACGTGCCCAAGGCCCTGATCAATCGTTAATGATGACGCCGCGTTGTTAGAGTCAGAAAGGGAATTAAGTCCATCTAAAAGTGGACGCGTGTTAAACGCCCTTCTGGCTCTATTCAGATGAGAGACAGAAATTAAGCTGGAATCCGTGATGACTCAAATACGCCAATGGGGCTTGGTTTAGTTTTGATAAAATTAATGGAGCTTGGTTTAGTTTTTATAAATCTTTGTGTAAATCACTATTGTCCATTGTAGTGTCTGAAGAAGGGAGCAAGAGGCAGTTTGTGTAAAAATTTTAATCCAGTTAAATTATTTGTAATGTTTGAAAACGCACATAACAAAGTAATCTATGAAATACGGGGTATGATTCCATAGTTGGAAACTTATGAAAATGATGTAATTTTGGGGTGGGGACAGATAATTATTCCCCCCCCCCCTTCCATACGATGGCGAAAAATGAAGGTGCAGCGAGAGAAAAGCAAGCGGAGAAGAGGGGGATGGGAAAAGCATCGTGAAAAGAAGACGACTCGACCCTCTCCCATATACTAACTTCACTTTATGTAGCCGAGCTTGCTTTGCCATATTTTGTCAATCTCATATTTCCGCCCCCAACCCAAGTCCCAACAGTGCCCCATCCATGGGGGGACGCACGCTACACCACTGTCATTGCCTTATACTGTAGGTCTATGTTGCCCATCAAGCGCATGCAAGACGACTGTGCAAAAACATTTGCAGACGTCAATATTTGAATATAATCCCGTTATTGATAAACAGATTAGCGTGACACGATTGACCCATCGACTGACTCAAGGGCGGATCCAGGGTGGGGCGGGGGTGGGGACGTGTTCTCCTCCCTTGTAAGCCCACATAACTATTAAACTATACGCAAACAAGAGTGTGTCCCTGTCAAGTGTGTTCTCCTGCCACCTTTCAAATTGTCAACCTATATAAAAGGCACTGGAAAATTGGATTACTTTTTTTGTAACTTACAATTTTTTGGAAAAGTACACCCCCCCCCCTTCCCCCCCCCCCCCCACCATCTTACATAATCCAGGATCTGCCCCTAAACTCATAAGTGGAGGTCTGCATCATTACGCATGTCACTTTGTATGGTCTAACATATAAACTGACCGCACACTTATTACAAGCGTCAATATTTGGATATAATCCCGTTATAAAATAAATAGATCGGATAACAAGCCAATAAGGCTAGTACACCCGCATGCTCAGTGTCCAAACTATCGTCCCATCCCGAGTTTTGTTTACTGAAAAATTGAAAGACGATTTTTTTTTTTTCTTTCTGAAAACATCCTGTTCACACCCATTTCCGCAGTCACTGGCATTCGCGCTTCCAGGGGCGTTGGAGCATGTGCCCCTTTCCCCCAATAAATTAAAAGTTATAGCATACGGTACGAACCAAAATGTGCCCCAAACTATGTTTCCTTTTCCCTTGTCATTCTTTTTCTTATTTTTTCGTTGAATAGCCACAAAAACACAAGGCAGTATACCATGCTAGGGGTTGTTAATTTCTTCTGCTGGTATATTTAAAGTGGCGTAGAAACCGGGTGGCACAAGGGGTAAGTGCCCCCGGCCGCCCTGTCGTATGGTGAAAAGGAAAAATAAAAGTAAAGATGATGACGGTGATCCCTTTCCTATCCTACACTACCCTACCCTGGCCTTTTAATTGATTTCGCGTTTCATTCAAAGACCTTCCCCATGATGTGAGTGCCCCCCTCCCCTCACCCCTCACCCCCTCCCCCGAATGGCTTTATCAACGCTACGCCACTGTATGAATGGATTGTTATTTCCTCCTGTTGATATACATTATTATAAGAGATGCTTTTCAACACAATACAGTGTAGTAGGCTGATGTTATAAGATTATGAGAGTCGGATTACAGCGATCAATACAATGCACAGAGTTCATACTGAAATATGGTTGATACTCGATAGCTTTATAAAAAAAACATATTTACAAGTATCTCCTCATCCTAATCTCATTATCTATCTCTCTCTCTCTCTCTCTCTCTCTCTCTCCCTCCTCTCTCTCTCCCTCTCTCTCTCTCTTTCTCTCTCTCTTTCTTTATCTACCTCTCTCTTTCTCTTTCTCGCTCTATATCATTGCCCCTCTTTAAAATCACGCTCCATTTTGAATCTTATGTAAACTATATTAATCTATTATTAAGGAAGAGAGCTTACAAGTTACCACCCCTCCCACTCTCACTGTCTCAGCAGTCTGCTGAATATGATTTGTGATATTTTGAGAAGAAAAATCGTTAAAATCTAGTTTGCCCTAAAATGAAAGGACTTTTGGTGAAAGGCAGTTACTGTGACAAGAGGGTACGGTACTCACCATTATTGCAGATATTTAAGGCAAAGTAGTTTGGCAAAGAAAAAGATTCACAAGTCTCCAATCAATCGGCAATGTATATAAAATAGGCCTGATCGGTTGAGCTGGATAGAGTTCGAATTGAATTTGTCTTTTGAAGATGGTCTTGAAGTATTATTAAAGAATGTGCTGAGATGGAATTAAGTATAGATTCTGCTCTCAAGCTTCTGTTCCGTGGCTGTTTCAAAGTACTGCGACGGACGGCGAAAGAATGGAGAGGTTTAGCACTGGTTGCAGCTTTATATACCACCGCAACTTCAGCGCATGGAGAAGCCAAGTCGTTAGAGGGAATGGTCATGCAATTGCAAACTGGGAAATAAACTTCTTCGGGAATGTTTGAGTATAGTATGTTATGTGGCGGATCCAGGAGACACATGGGCATGTGCCCCCCCCCCAACCGAATCAAGTAAGGGCATAATATCATAATAATTATTGCACATGCAGATTTTAAAGTAAATTTTGTATACACATCTCCCCCCCCCCCCTCCTCTTCGTTTGTAAAATAATTCTCATACTTTCCTTGATTCACCATGCAATGTCAATGGATGAATAAAGCATTGTGATATTTCAGATTCATTAAAATGATCACGTAAATGAAATATATGGATACACTGACCACGGCAAACACGTTTTTATCAATATTGTATTATGATTGTTTTAATTCATATTTGGAATACGGGAGCATTTCTCTGTAATCAGGTAATATTCATACTGTAATGTTTTTCCACAAAGGAATAAATGAATTAAAAGGAGGTTCACATATTATTCTATTTCTATATTTGTTTGCCTGAGAGAAACTCGACTTTCTCTTTAACTGGTAATGAGGCATGCCAAGCAAGTACATAGTCCTCCGTCGATGACTAGTCAAGCAATATGAAACCATATTAATGAATAATACGTCAGATATGGGTTCTCAGTACAACGGCCATACTTTCACTTTCGACTGAAACTAAGCCCTCTCTCTCTCTCTCTCTCTCTCTCTCTCTCTCTCTCTCTCTCTCTCTCTCTCTCTTCACCAAGTCTATCCGCCCTTTTTTCTCTCTTCTCCATTCTCTCTTGTAATGTTCAAGTTTAAGTCTCTCTATCTCTGTCTAGCTATACCTTTCTCTCTCTCTCTCTCTCTCTCTCTCTCTCTCTCTCTCTCTCTCTCTCTCTCTCTCTCATAGAGACCACCCCACACAATGAAACACACACACACACATAAACACATAGGCAATGATGGTTACGAAATACTTTGTACAAAGTATATTAAACTGAAATGGTATTGCCAAAAAATGATGCAAGATTTGTGTTCTTTCTTTCTGCATGTTGTATAGTTACACTTCCGACACCACAGCTAAAATGTTCAGGCCAATTTGCCCTATAGACATATACAGACTATACTTGTAGGATATTTTCAGAAAAAGATAGAGTGCAGTGAACTTTACAATTTTTTTATTCATGATATTTGTTTCTTATGAATTTATTTATGTAAGTTCACAATTATTATTCTTATGTTACGGTGTGCAGTTTGTTTTTTATCAAGGCTGCAAATATTTTGCAGAGCCCTCAGGGATAGCAGTTTGAGGCAATTAACGCTGCTGAAATAAAATTGTAAATATTAAATGAATGAATGAATAACAGTGAATTCAAAATTCATAAATACACAAATAGCTATATAAATAAGCAAATTAATAGATAAATACATAGGCCTACATGAATGGATAAATCTAAACATTCTTAATACGAAACAATAAAACATTACGTATTTTCTGTTTGTTTGTGTTAATTTTTTTATTTTTCTGCTCAAATTGTTTTTCTTGATTCAGTTTTTTAAAATTTTAATCTGACCCTCAAAGCTTGAAAACTCAGCGATCAGAATAGGCTTATACGATCTTTTTCTGAGATATTCTCAGGTTATTGTGTCATCGTGTGTAATTTGGGCCGAAGACTGTGACTGATCGACCTAACATATTGAACCCATCTGTCATAATTGTCTGTGAGCAATTTTCATTAGAAATATCTCTGTGGCAATTTTCACTCTTCACTAGCTAGCTGTGGGTATGGTTCTTGCAAACGCCCTCACCCGTATTTTGCTAGCCTCGATGACAAGTGTAACTGTTAGTGAACCGAGTTTCGGATATATAAATGTATTTTCAGTCATTTTCAGTTTGCTAAAAAATAGTATGTGTGGTGGGAAATACTATGAAAGTAAATTATTTTAATAATATTCACAAACATTGAATTATTAGAAAATCAGAGCATTTGTGTCTTGCCAAATACACACGTTTGATAATCTCCCACGAATAGGACAAAGGCTAGCTTCATGCGCTAATGGTCAGGTGACATATGTTTAGAACTGGAAAACAAACAAGTCGTTCGAAGTCGAAGTAAAGAGACAACGAGAAGCGAAAATTCAACAGCCACGTTCAACGTTTCATTCGGAATTTCAGTGAAGGATATTTGTGCGATGACCACCGTAACGAACAAGTCTTTCTTTCTGTCTTCTTTCTATCGCGTCAAAGCGAACGACCTGGTGTTGTTCAGTATTCTTTTGCTGGGAATCGTCGGAACAGCCATGGCGCACCAAAAACGAGTCGGTGGGATGACAGGCGTCAAGTCTTTCCAAGATGCAGATGCCGGGATTAGTGCTGAAGATCGAACGCAGATTGAGGGATTCCTTAAGAAAGTGAGTGTATGAAGTTAGAACATAGTTTAGCTTGTAAACCTCTTACGATCATGCAACCAAGATATATAATTTACAACCAAGTGTTCATAATATTACCATTTTACCATGATTTCTATTCAAATTGTTAGTTACTTCAAGTTCAAGTAGAATAGACAGAAAGCTTCAGAAGTTCAGTCTCTAACATTAACAGTTGTTCTTCTGCTGACTGTCTGGCTAAGTTATATCGCCTCTATCTATGCAGAGATAAAGTATATCATTTGGGTTAGCGAGGCACGAGAGGGGAGGTTACACATTGCAGTGAGTGCTCATCAAGTGATTAAGGTCTCATGCTTATTATTATATTAGGGCCTTGATTATTGTTTGTCATGTCCACATAGCTCATAGACGATGTGAAAGATGTGACGCCATTTCAGCAATTTGCCCATTATCTGGTCGTCTCACGTCTTCAGACCAAATTTGAGAACACGTTCATCCATGACTTGAGGTTTGTCAGAAAACTAGTACCCCGTCTTCAAAATAACGTCATCTTGCTATATCGCAGCTTCATCGTGTACAGAACGGGCGTCGACTAAAAATAAAAAGGGTACTTAATAATCTGTAAAGTAGTGAGTAGGACAGGTTGACTGCAGCCAATTCTCATCGTTAGAGGACGGGAATAGCATCCTCGTCCACACAAACGAAAAGGCCTTAATTAGTATGTAAATAAATTATAACTTTAACATTGTTTTTCTTCTTTAGGTACGTGGAGAGGCAGAGGAAGCAGCAGGAAGGAAATTTGCATCCCTGAAGCCTTTGGAATATGCAACCCAACTTGTCAATGGAATCAACTACTTCATCAAGGTTTGTAGGGAGATTTTAAAGAGCACATTAATAGACCTAATTGACTAGTTATTATTCTTTCATAAAAATTCTATGGTGGTGAATGAGAAACAAATTACTGTTCAGCAGGTGATATTGCAAATGCATCCTTCAGATTTTAAACAACTTGTTTTTTTCGGCCATAAATAATGGCAATATCAATATAGCTTATATACATGTATGGAACTCTTTATGTTAAGTTAGAGGCTCAACTACTGAAATTTTACAGAGAAGTAGCAAGGAGTATTCATGTTCACTGCACTAATCACAATTTAAAGGTAAAGACCAGTTATGGTCATGCGATTGCATTGTGAAAGAAACGTTGTGGAATCGGTCAGAAAAGGTTGATCATCTAGCATATAAGTATTGGTGTGTACTGCAAGGTTCTGGAATCATCAAAATGATAAGAAATTTGGCCAAGTCTTTGTAAAGTTTCAAGCACTGTACACAAAAAGATGTATATGGGACTATACGTACACTTGCGCGACACATGCGTTTATCTCTCACAGACCATGGATAAACTAATTTACCAAATATATCAATTAGTAGGCGGTTTCCCGGCAAATTTGTTATCATCATGTATTAGTCAAAACATATTCTTTCACATGATTGGTAATAAGAGCTTCCATTTCATTTTTTGAAATTGGGGCGTTTCAAATACTGGTCTTTACCTTTAAGGAGAATATAAGACGTTTTAAAAAAAAAGGTTAAATTTCCCTTTGCCCGACCTACCCAAAAATCTACAGTCGGCTTTTAAAAGAGGTTTTTTCTTTTTTTTACTGATTTTTTGAAGAAGAAAAAAATCATATTAAAGCCTGTCTGTGATACTTTGGTCAGGATGGATTAGACCACCCAGCGTGGTCACTGACAGGTGGTTATCTCATCAATTCAGCTCTCAATTAACATAAGAAAAAGAAGATCATGGGGGACCAACGGGCACCATTTAGGCATTGTTTTCTATATAGAGGGAGCAAGTAGCTACAAATAGTACAGTGGGGCTTTAAAGCATTATAAACTGATGAATATCAGCCCAAAGAGGGAGAAAAAAGGAAGAAAAAAAAATTCTGACCGACCGACCCATGTTTTGGCACCTAAAAGGGCAATACAACATATTTTTTTAGGCCTTAGTACCACTGTTCACTATCTTCCATTTTTTTTTTTTTGGGGGGGGGGGGGGGGACGAGGGTGTTTATTTCCATCTGCCTAATACCATTGAGTACCAATTATGATAGCCAGATTTGTGTGCTATAAATTCAGAATAGTAATAATGAATTTAAGAAGAAGAAAAAGAAGATTAGTTGTAAAGTCATTACTAATTATATTGATTACCCTATTGTTATCATATATTATTACATTGTTATTATAATTATGATCATTGTTATTATCATTAACATTATCATCATCATTATCATCATCATCATCATCCTCACCATTACCCTTATTATTAGTCAACATTTTTCATCATTATTAGTAGCAGTAATTTAGAAGGTCTAGAATGATTTACACATGTACTGTGATTTACCGTTTTCATTCTTTATCACCCCTCCCCCTCTCTCTCTCTCTCTCTCTCTCTCTCTCTTTTCCTCTGTATCTCTCTCTCCTCCCTCCCTCTTTCTCTCCATTTCCCCCTCTCTCTCTCTCTCTTTTCCTCTGTATCTCTCTCTCCTCCCTCCCTCTTTCTCTCCATTTCCCTCTCTCTCTCTCTCTCTCTTTCCTTCTCCCTCTCTCTTTCCTTCTCTCTCCCTCTCTCCTCTCTCCCTTTCTCTCTCTCCTCCCCCTCTCTGTCATTCTTTCTCCTTCTCTCTCCCTCTCTCTCTCCCCACTCTCTCTCTTTCTCTCCCTCTCTCTCTCTCCCTCTCTCTTTCCTTCTCTCTCCCTCTCTCCTCCCCCTCTCTGTCATTCTCTTTCTCCTCCCCTTTCTCTCTCTCTCTCTCTCTCCCCCCCCCTCTCCCCCCCCCCCTCTCTCTCCCCCCCCCCCCCCCCCCCTCTCTCCTCTCTCTCCCCAGGCCTCCACCGGTGATGGAAAATACGTCTTCCTTCGTCTCTACAAGCCATTCCAGGGAGAGATAACCTTCAACAAACTCCAAGATGACAAGACAGAGGCGGATCATTTGACATATTTCTAGATTCTGAATACGTTGTTAAATACCCGGACACCTCAAACTTGCCTGAATCATTGATAACTATACCCTTGCAAACAAAAAGAAAAGTTTCCTTCTAAAATTCTCTGGTAAACTGATTTAAAACTCAAATTGACAAAAGCCACTTAAGTATTTAAACTGAGATCTGCATTCTATTTCATAACTTTGATATTTCATTTTCTGTAAGACATTCAGAAGGATAAGACCGAAAAAGTTCTTTTGGCATACATATATATATCTAAATTTTAAATATCTAGAAACATCAAACTACGTGTATAAAATTGTCCTTGATGGATTGAGACTCTATCATCAAAATAACAACATTTCCTTCTAGTATATATTTCTTTCATCTATGCTATCTGTAATTGACAAAGAGTATTTAAAGCTGGAATCTGAGTCATAATTTAATATAATCAATTTCCTTAAGGCTTATGAAATGTTGGTATGCTTTCAAATATATTTTTAAATCCAGAATGGCACTAGGCTACTTGCATGCATTTATTTATTCTTTTGTGTGTGGGGGGAGAGGCAGCTGGGCACATAACACAGCATTGTGTATGCTGTCGAAAATGTGTAGAATTTATCCTTATAACTGTAAGTTTCAATGGACACCTATTTTTTACTTGCTGAACCAAATATATCATGAAATGAAACTGAAAGTCTCAAAATATGTCATAGCAAAGTGTGCTACATGTTAATACTTTAACCTTCAATCATTACACACAACTAGAGTCGATACAAGAACAATATTATATGAACAGTATGCAGTTAAATCTAAACCGAACGTTTCCAATCCATTACATCTATTTATATGGCTCCTTAGTCCTTATGTAAAGTTTGGAATCATAAAGCAATAGACTGTTTTCAAAGATACTTAATCAGATTACCGTAGTCTGTCTCTGTTGTGTAGAAAAAAGTACCAATATGTAATTAAGCTTATGTATAGAATGAATCAATATGCAATACATGTAGATCAATGCATGATAAATTAAAAAACATCAGATTTCTATGTATTTTCTACTCTTTCATACTATTTTCACCATCTATGTATTATATTAGACATGTGATTGGTCAATTGAACAGAATGATTCATTCATTGTCAGATGTATTAATTGTTGTAATTTAGTTATGTTATTAGCGTGAAAAAAAAAAATTGTTTTCAGTTTTAAATGTATAGAATCTTCTTATATGGATACAATAAAACCAATTTCAACTTTAATGCAAAATATTGCGTTTTTTTTAAATGAAGTTTCTTGCCTGTGTCGCTTCATGTATTTTATTGAAATGCAAGAATGAATATTGAAAACTAACCATTGTTAAATGCTTATGTTATCTGGGTCAAGGAGTCAAGGAAAATGCAGCTTAAAGGCATCGTTTAACAATGTTAAAGGCCCTACGTGTTATCAGTGTCTGTGATATGGTGTAATATTGAAGCCCTGAAGCGCAATATATAGTGTAGCACAAAGTATTCCTTTCCTCAGTTGGTGCCTAGTGTTTTGTGCAAAAATGCAAGTGTAGCAAACGAGTGACTGTGTAGAGGGTCAAAGAAAGCAACCAGTGTTGAAACTATCTCAATATCTGGTTGGACTTCCCCTTTAAAGATAAAGTTTAGTTCTGGTCATGCGATTGCATTGTGAAAGGAACGTTGTGGAATCGATCAGAAAAGGTTGACCATTTAGTATTGGTGTGTACTGCAAGGTTCTAGAATCATCAAAATTATAAGAGATTTGGCCCAGTCTTGGTAAAGTTACAAGCACTGCACATAGAAAGATGTATATGGGACTACACTAACATGTGGCATAAAAATCTGTCCTGATTTGTATGCTGTTACATGCCATATTTAGCATATGAAGGCATTTGAAGAGCCATACTTTTCAGGGAACATGTTCTATCTAATGTTCTTCCACACTTGCTTAATAACAATAATGATAAAATTATTTTTCACCTCTTCCCAGAACTAAACCTTCTCTTTAAGCACAATTTATGAAGTTTATATGAACACTATAAAATAAATGCACATAAACGGACAAGAGACATGTAAATCAGTAATGTACAATACAAGGTAATTTTTATTCAGACCCAGAATCCGGTTTGATTTTCATTACAAAAACATGGGGTCATGATACAAATAGGATACACATAGCACAGCACAGGATACACTTTTCTTCATTTCAAGGTTGTCTAGCAAGAGTTTCTCTACAAAGTGAATTGTGGTTTGCTCACAATACCCAACTTTGTAGAATACCCATTTCTAAGTGTATAAATCTTTTTTGCAAGGGAAGCATTCAAATGGCTACTTAGCCACCAGCCTTATTTGAGATTTTTTGTAGGTACCTTCTTCGGGAGTTGGGAGAGTAAAGAGTTTGGTTTAGGTGAAGATTTTACTTGGTGAATTTCTCTTTGGGGAGGGGAGGCGGTCATCTAAAATCATTAAATATAATTATGAAAGATCTCTCAACTTTGGAAAGTCAAGCCTGCCTTTTGTAATATTCCATTATGTTTGCTATTAGGGAGGGGGGTGTACATAACTAGTGTTGAATTCCCCCATTTCCCCCAAAAGACACATGAATTAAATAAAATACTGCACCGTCATTTATTTCCATGAATGCCTCAAGTCCCTTTGCTCGCCGAATATACACATTTTGAATTTTGCTTAAATTCTGATTAAATCAATTAAAATGAATACATAATTATGCTTTCCTGGGAATTCCTGCAGCATTGTACTTATGATCATAATAGTTAATCTTTATCCTCTATCACCTTGTATATAAATGAGACCTTTTCTAAGGTAGAATGCTGCATACTCTGTTATCATCATTATTTGCCTAAGGCTAGCATCAAACATGTACGTTTCAAAAGGTACTTACTAACTGTTATATTATTTCTCATCATTTTTTCATAAGCAGGGGTGGTAGTGAGCACTCAAAAAAAATAGGTTTTTGTTTTCCCCTCAACCACGCCCCCCTTGAGTAACAAAAAAAAGAGGATTCGCGGGGGAAAATGGCATCTAACAACATTCCCCCTTTCGAGTAAGAAAATTAGGACAAAGTTGGGGAAAAAATAGGGCAAAATAGCGAAGAATAGAGGAAATAAGAGAGAATAGAGAAAATAAGAGGGAAATCGGGAAAATCAGGACAAAATAGGGAAGAAGAAAAAAAATTGGTAAAAAAAAAAAAAAAAAATCTGGATTTTTTTTTTTTTTAAAATCGGGAAGAAAAAAAAATCGGGAAAAAATCGGGATAAATAAAAAAAAATCGGGAAACCGATTTAAATCGGGTTTTTATCAGGCCTAAAAAGGCAATACAAAAAAACATAACAAAGACTGGATGACAATAGTGGTAAAACATGAGTCAAAGGGAGGGAGACGGGGCAACAGTCTTACTGGGTGGGTGGGATGTGAATTAACAAACCCACCCATGAGGGGATGGGTCTGGATGGGGGTCCTATAAGGCCTGACTTCATCAGCTCGAGTTTGCCAAATAACCTGCCTTTTTCAGACTTGGGATATTATCACAAAGTTTGAAATTGCGTCCTCACCAGACCGCTACGCTCATTACAAATTAGCTCGGACAGGCGCAAATTAGCCCACTATTTCCCAAATGACAACATATTTTGGAAACAAGACCAAGATATTTTCTCGACCAAATATCCCGCTATCAAATTGCAACTATGGGCTGATGAGGACGCAAATTAACTGGCTAATTTGCGATCGGGATATTTAAAATAGCGAGTTACAGTATTTGGCAAACTCAAGCAGATGAGGACAGGCCTCTCGTCTTCTTTTAACATTTCTATTCCGCCGCTATTTCGTTTTCACCCTTTTCTCAGTGATGACATGTTTTTCACCATTTGCAAGGGAGTGTGATGGAGGGGGCACATAACTCCAATAATTATTGGCTGACAACGTAGCTCTTGTTTCCCTTATTCCTCATCTGGCCTGCTTCCATCAGTCGATTTAATATTTGTTCAAAACCATGGTCCATCCTGGTGCATGCATGTAGGTTTGACAATGTCTTTGAGGGACCTTAAAGCGTCCACACCTGATCTTCACCAGAGCTATAAAAAGTCTTTATCAGTCCAGGGGGTATTTCACAAAGATCCTAAGTCGAACTTAACTCTAAGTTGCACTTTAACAGTATGGAGAGCCATTTGTAGCCTTAAAATAAAATAAATTCAAAAGCAAAATTTAAGTTTTTTAGACTTTTCATAAATTCCACATCAAGAACATGAAATCTCGTTGATAATAGAAAATATGAATGATTTGAATCAACATTTTATGCCTTATTTTCAAAGATGCTATTGGCTTTCCATAACTGTTAAGTCCAACTTAGAGATAAGAGATTAGAGATAAATCAACTTGGGATCTTTGCGAAACACCCCCCTGTCCCCCTGGCGATCCCGCTACGAGCCAGCACTTGACTTCTTCTTCACCCTCCTCCTCAGACCTTGCACGTGTTTCTCAAACTCCTCAGCGATCCTGGCCCTCTCCTCGTTGCCATGGGAGCTTGATTTGTATAGGTTGATGAGGTCCATCTTCTTGTATTCCGGCCGCTCCCACGTCTTGCCCTCCTCGATCTTCTCCTCCGACAGCACCTCCGTCATGACGATGCCCTGGAAGCCGAAGCGCTCCCATCGCATGTGCCAAGGCTTCGGCTTCATCTTTACCTGTGCGAGGAGGAGAAACGTCAAGATATAGGGATGCTAGTTAGAATTGATCAGAGGCCCTCAAAATCCCCTAGAATGAGCTATTTTGTACACAAAAAAAGCCTTAACTATGGTCTGAAAATAAATTGCCAGGGTCTGAATTCAGGTAATTGCCTAAAAAAATTGGCATCCCTGAAGATATAGGTGAATGGATGATGACAGAGATGCCAACCTCTTGACACACAAAAAACAGACTGAATATCCTTTTTTTTAAATCAGATTCTGGAGACATGTTCAGAAAATGTTTTACTGGTAAGAACGGTCAAGTAAAATGTTTGCGCTTTCATTTGTTTGGTGTTGTTTTTGTTTTTTTTAAGATGAAAAATTGTATTTCAAGAGGCGATATTGTATTGTCATATTTCACTCTTATTATCGTACTAAATACGATAAAGTCGTACAGCTTGACCTCTCTGTGATGACCAAACATCAGCTCCCAGGACAATAAGCCACTTCGAAGATAGCACTTGTACAAATGACCCCCAAATATATCCACCGATCTTTTACACATGAAGACGTCCCACTCTGTGCATTTTAGAATAATCACTCCCAGTGTGATGGAGGTGCTTCACTAACGGTCAACCAAACCAGAATTGCATTATACTCTCATGATATTTTTTCTAGCAACGCATTTCCATGAATTTTTGGAAATCATTGGTTTATAATTGCTTGATTTACCTTCACATCATTGACAGGCACTGGCCTTCCAGGGGGATGTTTGATTGTCGTCATGTCAGGATCTATGGTGCTATACTCAGGCAAGGCGTCTCGGAGGTAGAGGAGGTGGCGGTCTAGCCTCTTCTCAAGTCTGATCACCTCAATCTTTTTGATGAGGGGGTTGTAGAGTTCATAGTTGATCTCAATACCTGTGGTTGATAGATGTAGAGCGTAGAGATTAGCAGGGGCGTAGCTACTAAGGGGACATACGGATACCCCCCCCCCCCCCTCCTCCCTCGCCCCCTTGAAATCCCCAAAATAAATGCGAGAAGGAAGAGAGGAAATGAAGAAGGAGACAGAAAAATCAAAGAAGATATAAGTCAGGAGTCAGGAGTACTTGAAGTAGAACTGAGCAACATCATTATTATTAGTAGTAGTAGTAGAAGTATTACTTATACCGCGCTTTTCCCATAAGGCCCAAAGCGCTTACAGTTAATGAAAATAAAAAAATACATGAATACATATAATTAGAAAAAAAACAGTCTTACAACTACAAATTGCAAAAAGATGTGTTTTTAAGGCCTTTCTGAAGGTAAGAACTGATGGAGACTGCCTGATTCTAAGTGGTAAATCACTCCAACATTTTGAAGCAGATAAGTAAATGTTCTATCACCGGCTAATGTGCGGTAACTGAATATGTGAGACGAAGAGGATCACTGGCTGACCTCAATGCCCTGGTAGGTGTATATAAATTCAAACAGGTATGTAAATATTGTGGAGCTTGATTATTGAATATTTTGAATACAAACAAGAGTAATTTAAAAATTATTCTTTGTTTCAAAGGAAGCCAGTGTAATGATCTCAAGAGTGGCCGAGATGGATGGTCCCTAGAAACCTGAAATATCAATCGGGCTGCCCAATTTTGTAGCCGTTGCACACGAATCAATTTAGTCGAGGGAATGGAAGAAATTCTTTACCAGTAGTTACGGTGCTGTAATAAAAAAATTGCATTTAACTAGAATCTATCCAAGGGGAAGTCTACCCTGATATTAAGTTGGTTTAAATAAAATGAGAAGAACGGTTGGTGAATGTTTGTGCGAATCCCATTTAAAATAGGAAAGTTAGGAATTTTTAAAGTTGTCATCAGTGAAACACAAATCGGCACCACTGTGATGTAACTTGCAAGCTCCTCTCCAGTTTGCTTGGTACGAAAACTTGTATAAACTTTCCTTTTCTTACTTATTGATGACGGAATAGATTTCTTAAACCTCTTTGCAATAATCATATTTAGAGAAAATGTAAGATTGAAAAGTTTTTTAGTACAAGGCAAGTGGGAGCAGACTTCACAAGATATGTCACACAGTTACCAATTTGTGTTTGATTGATTGGACTTTCAAAAATTCATATCTTTCTTATTTATAATCGGTTTTTGCTCAAACTTTCACTGACCGGTATCTTTAATTTTTCTACTTCTATTAAAACCAACACAATATGATAGTGGAATTCCTATTTAAAGAAGTTTTCAAATATACAGCTTCAACAAAGCATATGTTGTTTTTTTCTTTTCACAAGTATTAAACCACATATTCCTAGACATACATTTCTCACATCGTACTGACCTTGTTCATCGATACAATTCCGTAGCTTAAAACTGGCACCAAGTCCGTAGTTTTTCCTCTCGATACAAATGCCGACAAAGCGATTTTCCTTCCCTGGAGCATGAGGGTCAGAAACTGTTACAGCTAGGATCGATCCTGTACCGAGAGCAAGGGGGGGGGGGGGAGAGAAGGGGGATTGAGAGTGAAACAGCACTCAAAATTTGGAGTTACACATACTGGATATACATATACCTTGACTCAGAGTGAATTAGAGTTTTGGTAAATTATATAACAATATTGAACTAATTTGATTTCATAAAATTAGTTCATTAAATTAAAATTGATTTATTTTTTAAATTCAAGATTAATTTTGTAAAACCAGAAGCTTTCATGAACAAAATGTTGTTGAATTTTCACTAATCTGTGTTAAATTTCTTTCAATTTAGATCAAGGATAAGCAATTCTATGCTGGAGAAGCCTGTCCATAAACATAACGTTACATAGATGAAGAAAACAAAATTAATGATTTCAGATAGGAATGGTAAATTGAGCTTGCATTTCAGACATGTTCATTTCTGTTGTACATCGTCAAACTATGGCGTCCCCACCTAAACGAGGAGAGAAATGTTCACAATCGGGGTAAAGACGTGTTCTGAAGTACTGTCTTGTTTTGTGTTGTGATGGGTTTTGGGGGTATTTTAAACCTTATTTGTCCGAAATATATTAGTAAAGTGAAGTATCAAGTAGTTGTAGCTCAGTCGTTTTTTTAAATACTTATATGTACATCTGTTGCCTATATCTGTTTACTTTTTCAATAAAAATTTCTTTTTTCAATTACAAAAAAAAATCATCTCTTTACCTAGATAAAACTCTGGTACATCTAAGACCTCTCGTCTCTTGTAACAATCTTCCCTCTCCAGAAAGTCCTTCAACTTGCTCCTCTGCCCCATGGGGGGCATGAACTCTGGGCTGAAAAACTTGCGCTCCTGCACGGCCTCTCCAACCTTCTTCCGCCTCGGTCCTCGGGTGGTAGCAGGTGCATGATGGGAGGAGGGCGGTTTGGTTGTAGTTTGGATGGAATCTTCTGGCTGTTTGGCATCAGTCGGTGATGGACTGCGACCGCTTGTGTCATCTCTGTTGGTATGAGCAACCTTTGACCCTGTAGAACGACATTGAGAGATACATACATGTAAATATCCAAGCTACTTTTTCCCATATGTAACGAACCGCTAAGATTATAGTATAACCGAGTGATTCATTCCAACATGTCCCAGTGCATTTCAAGGAATAAATCCTGACATCTAGTAACACATACACCTGGATGGAGAGTGGCTAATGCAGATTAATGTCTTGTCAAAAGATGTGAGTGCCAGGCTGGGATCTGAACCCTTGACCCTTGGATTGAGAGTCAACTTTAAGTGAATGAACCCCTATACCACGACACCTCCACATAGCTTTCATCCAGATATTTAATCTGTGAATGAGAATTTTGAGATTGCGATATCGCCAGAATTTTTCTTAACAATTTTTGCTTAGAACTACAAAAAAATCTATTTCTGAATTCTGTATTTGCAATTTGCAGTTTCAAAATGTCTATTTTGGCAGTTATTAACCCAAATAAATCTAAGTAAAATATGAGAAATAATAGTTCGAATACCACATTCTGATTTTTAAATTTGTTTTAATGTGCGCGGACTTTGGACACCATGGCCATGCACTCCAGCAAAGCATAGAGAGTCAATGCTAATGCGTATTGACCTCTAGCACTGCATGCTTGCTGTGAGTCAGGTATTATTAGACCCATACACAAATACACACACCACACGATATTGCGTAGACTGCATACAATCATGCCAATGCGGCTGTAAGCAAAGTTTGACAGTAGACTAATCTGTAACAGGCCTTAAATTTCGTCATTTTTAGGGCAAGGCCAGTTTGGCCTCGAGTACCTCATATTTTTAAGGGCACCAAGGCCAAAATATTTTTACAAAAAGGGCATCAAGGCCAAAATATTTTACAAAAAGGGCATCGAGTATGAGGCCAAAAAAATTGATTCTATTTTTGTTAGATGTCATGTGTATTTTATGAAACTTGTGCAGGATCAATTTCCCATGACTTTTAGCACCAGCTTCTTCACAGAATGTATAGAGGTCTACGGTACATACAAACTAGCAGGCGCGTAGCCACGGGGGGGGGGGGGGGGGGGGGGGGGGGCACGGGGGCATGTGCCCCCCTAAAATTTCCAGGATCGGTTGAAATTTTGTAGACCCCTTTTTTTTACCTCGATCGATTACATGTATGTGCCCCCCCAAACACCAAACTCTGGCTACGCGCCTGCAAACAAGGCGGTGGCCCGCAAGCCTTAGATTTAGCAGCCAGGAGCAAGGGGCAATTTTTTTTTAAGTTGCCCTTTGCCACGGGAATTTACCAGAGCAAGGGGCAATTTTCCAAAAACAGATAGGCCGCTTATCTAATCATAAGTTCAAAGAGAGTCTACAAATGTTAATTTCATAATGTGAATAGATCGAACGATCAATTTAATAACTTTTTAATCTTAACAATATGAACAGGAAAGATAACTAAAAATATTGATGAGCAAATGAATAAATAAATTGTCAATTTCACAAACATCGAAAGTCAGAAGGACTTAATTGGCAAGTTTACCGGGCCGGGTATTCCAAATCAAAATCGCACCTCACACACAAACCTTCCGCCACTCTCTCGGTAGTAGGAGCAAATTTGAAGAAATTATCTTTTTAACTGTTGTATAGAAAGGTCTACATAGGCCTAACTAATGAAATAAGATGTAAAAATGTCCTTATAGACATTCGACAGCTGAAAGTGACACGCTCAGCTCAGTTGCGTAACGTGCATTCACGAAACCAAAATCGTTCCTCGCACACACACTCTCGCCACTTTTGGTGGGAAGCTGTCGGGCTGGAAGTTTGCCAGCGAAACCGATGCACCCTCGGAATTTTACCGGGACTCGAAACGTTCGTCTTGGGAAGCTGGCGGGGTAGCTTTTTGAAGCGAGGTCGGCTGGTGGCAAAATGAGAGTAACTACGATCGAGAACATCGTAGGTGTTCTTAACTTATTAATAAGATAATTCTAAATTCTATTTGAGATAAAATAATAAACTAGGCCTACAAACAAACCTCGACAGATCTCTAATGACTATTTGAATGCTTGTTTATTTCTCCATTTGACGATTTGTTTTCTTGATTCTGGCCTTCGATTTGTACGTACGTGCGTGCGTCAACAGCATGCACCATATGCGATCGCATAATATGAACGTACGTACGTACGTGCGCTAGCGCATTGCCTATATAATAACAAAGGGCGCATTTTCACGGCACTTGCGCCTTATTAAAGCACTAAATACGAAGCTAGAAGAGAGCTCGTGGGCGGCAAACTGTTCGTGATTCGTGTATTTTTACTGTTCTAATAATTTATGGGCGCATTTTCACGGAAAACACTTGCGCCTTGCCGTCTAGTTTTAGATGATTATGGGCGCAATTGGTGGTTTTATGTGCGCAAATTTAAAATAAAAAGGGCACGTCCAGTTGGAAAAAAAGGCACGTCGGCCAGTTTGAAAAAAAGGGCACGGCCTTTTTGGCCGTGAATATATCTTTTTTGGGGAGGGCACCGCGGCCAGTCATAGGGGCATCGACGGCCAGGGCCGTCGATTATTTAAGGCCTGCTGTAAGTTGAAAAAAATGTACTTAACTGCTATTTAGGTGTCATCAATTGTCACTGGCCAGGTACAAAAACAGTCATTTTTTGCATGTTTAGGCTTAGGGTTAGGGTTAGGGTTAGAGTTAGGGTAAAATGACAAAAAATGACCGTTTTTGCAGCTGGGCTGAGTTGTCCCCTGGTACTATCCGACTGTGGAACTCCTTACCATCTGCTGTCGTCGATTGCACCTCTTTGGAACTTTTCAAGCAGAAGGTGCAACACATCAAGCTCCGTTGAGCTTCAGACTGTTTTTTAGCTGCACATAGAATTCTTGTAGAACCTTTTTACTTGCACTGTACACTCGGCACTTGACAAACACAAGGTACGATAATACGCCAACGGCGGACTGTACTATACTGGAAGAAGAAGAAGAAGAACTAACTACAGAGTCATCATACGTGTAGTCACAACATAAAAACCTACATGTGGGACAATACACGACATTTTCCAGATTTGTCTGCACGATTACCTCACGATTATCAGCTAGCAGGAAAGAAATGGGTGAAACAATCAAATCTTACCACTTATTCTACGGAGATTGCATGAATTTCGTAGATCTAAACACTGCTGTCCTCGAAATATGAGAACTGGTCCTCTGAAAACCCTGGTACACGCCATGCCACGGTATTAGCGCTTGTAGCAGAACATCCTGTGAAAAAAGCATGTGTGTCCGTCGGGTTCATGCTGCTAAATCAAAGCGATGTGATATTTTTATACATAGCATTGTAATGGGACAACGCAAGGTGGCATTACTGTGTGTGTGTGTGTGTGGGGGGGGGGGGGATGTATCAATGCACGATACGCCACTCCGGTGTCACGGGCCAAAATATGCTCATCTGACGATAATTTAATGTATAAAACCCCTAACCTTATGACCAATTATAACCCTGGACCCATCACCAACTTGTGTCCTGCCAGTGTCACAAATAAGGTATCAAAATATGCTCATCTGACAGTAATTTATTGCCCAAAAACCTCTGAGCTTCCGGGGGCTCTGACCCCTGGACCCCACGCCAAATCGTAACCTGCCAGTGTCACAATAAGGTATAAAATTATGCTCATCTGACGATAAATTGATGTATCAAACCCTGAGCTTCTGGGGGCTCCGCCCCCGGTGGACCCGACACCAATTTGTGTCCTGTCACATAATATAAAAATATGCTCATCTGACCGTTATTTATTGCCCAAAACGCCTGAGCTTCTGGGGGCTCTGACCCCTGGACCCCACGCCAATTCGTGACTTTCCAGAAATAAGGTATAAAAGTATGCTCATCTGACGATAAATTGATGTATAAAACCCATGAGCTTTTGGGGGCTCCGCCCCCTAAACCCGACACCAATTTGTGTCCTGTCAGTGTCACATATAAGGTATAAAAATATGCTCATCTGACCGTTATTTATTGCCCAAACCTCTGAGCTTTCGGGGGCTCTGCCCCCTGGAACCCACCTAGGGCCCTTAAGCGGACGGCTTGATGCTAATCTAACGATAATTCAATGCTTAAAACCCCCGAACTTCTGGGGTCTCGGCCCCCTGGACCTCACGCCAATTTGTTTCCTGCCAGTGTCACAAATAAGGTATCAAAATATGTTCATCTTTGACCGTAATCAAATGCCTAAAACCCCTTAGTTTCAGGGGCTCCACCCCTCGACCCCTACAGGGGCCCTAAGGCGGGCCCCTGCATGCTTATCTGACCGTGATGATATTCCTAAACCCCTGAGCTTCAGGGGGCTCCTCCCCTGGACCCCACGCCAATTAGTTACTTGCTTGTGTCACAAATAAGGATATAATTATTCTCATCTGACGTAATTAAATGCCTAAAGCCCTGAGCTTTCGGGGCTCTGCCTCCCAAACCCAACGAATGGCCCTAAGGCGGCCCCCTGGATGCTCATATGACTGTAATCTATTGCATAACATCCCTGAGCCTCCGGGGGCTCCGCCTCCTGGACCCCATGCAAATTCGTGACCTGCCAGTGTCACAAATAGAGTATCAAAATATGTTCATATGACCGTAATTTATGCCAAAAACCCGTGAGTTTTTGGGGACTCCGTTCGTGACCTGCCAGTATCATAAATAAGGTATAAAGTTATGCTCATCCGACGATAATTTGATGTAAAAAAAACCCTGAGCTTTTGAGGAAGACCGCCCCCTGGACCCAGTGGCGGATCCGGGGGGGGGGGGCCTGGGATTTTTTTTTTTTGGAGATGCTCCCCCCCCCCTTGCGCTCAAGGGGGGGGGGGGGGTAGCGATTTTTCACATTTTCAAGGGCAAAACAAAAAAATGAGTGCTCACTAACTCCCCCCCCCCCCCCCCCCCACCACTGAGCGAAATATTGGCCTGTACGATTTTCAAATTTCAACACACTAAATTTCAAATGGATTTCAAATTTGGGCCCCCACCCCTAAGAAATCCTGCATCCGCGCCTGGCTCTACGAACTGCTCCACGATGTCAAATGTCATGACAATCGTTGATCTTCAAGACGCATTTGGTCCTGTGAAGCATAACCTTCTTGATCAAGTTATTTAATACACATATATACAGTTTTCACTCTTACAATACTCATATATCACTTTTACAAATGAACTTATATTACGGAGTTTTAGATTTGCGTGGACTGATACGTGCAAAAATGGGTTGCACGTCATTCATTTTTCAAACTGAACATTCAGTGTACGCCTTGTTGGATTCTGTGAGAATTTATTTGCTATCATTTAATACCAGAACTGAAGTTTATCTTTAATCTTCTCTTCTCTTCTCTTCTCTTCTCTTCTCTTCTCTTCTCTTCTCTTCTCTTCTCTTCTCTTCTCTTTTCTTCTCTTCTCTTCTCCTCTCTTCTCTTCTCTTCTCTTCTCTTCTCTTCTCTTCTATTTTCTTCTCTTCTCTTCTCTTCTCTTCTCTTCTCCTCTCTTCTCTTCTCTTCTCTTCTCTTCTCTTCTCTTCTCTTCTCTTCTCTTCTCTCTGTGTTTATTAAACACATTGTAGCGTTTAGTTACAAAATGCTTGTCTGATTTGATTGTATTCACCAATATAAAAACATATACATGACAATAATTATACACGATATTAAACATGAGAAATAACATTTGATCAGGGAGATGTGATATGATGGATCGCCCTGCTCAGCTGTGCCAGTGCAGCACAGCTGTTGTACCGAGGGGTCGATCAGTTTTCACCTTTACCATAACTGTCCCCTCTTGAAAAATGGTTCGTCGTTAATTCTATATGCTTGTTACTGTGCATACATGATTGGGCCTTTCGGTGGTGCCGACATTGTCTGTCTTTGTATGTTTAATCCTGACCACTGGAAAAGAGCGACTTACAATTTTGCATAAGAATAGATCAACGATGCTTGTTTGCTTTTTCGCTTTAACGCATAAACGGTGAATATTGTGTTAGCCCCCTATTCTAAATCTCTGTCTCTTCACTCTCACGTTCTCTCTCTCTCTCTCTCTCTCTCTCTCTCTCTCTCTTTCTCTCCCCTCTCTCACTCTCTTGCAATCTCTTCTCTAATTACTTTCTTCTCTATTTCGATTCTCTATTTCCCTCCCTCTCTCTCCCTTTCTCTCTCTAGCAATCTCTTCTCTATATACTTTCGCTATACTCTCTCTCTCTCTTTCTCTCTTTTTATGCAGCACGTCCCCAATCCCTCACTATACAACTCTCTCTCTCCATTCGTGTTAATTTAAATCTTCTCTTTGGGGGTATTTATCCGGGTACCCTTTATGCTCGTCCGACTCCAAGAAAAGTAAACATCCAATAATATAACCATATACTTTCGATGGGTGTGGACCCGTTATCATTGCTGATGTTCTATTGACGTACGTGGCATGCAGCGAAGCATTATTCTTGAGTAGCTATTGCAGCATGTAATTGTCAAGCCCTCCAGAGTAACTCTCTTGCGTTGCTTCAGCATAAGCATGTGTCCTATAGAGAGACCATTGATTACATCCAGAATTTTACTATTATAATTGAGGAATATCTCTGGGCTGATGTGCGATCGAGGTAAGTCTATATAAAATTACTTTTTGATAATTAACATGTCACCAAAATTTTTACTAATTTTGTACTGAATTTATAATACAGTCGGTAACTTGTCATCATATTAATACATAAGAAATTCAGTTTATGTTGTATAATTATTAACTGTTTGCATGCACCCATAATTATTTCATTTAATTACCCCATTTTTTTGTAATCTCCCACCGCTAAATCTAATAGTGGACATTCGTTTTTCTCGAAAGCCATTTTGTTTAGAAATATGACTCAATATTGCAATGTCTGACCTTAATTAGATAGCTATGTTTTTATCATGAATATAACGAGTTCTATACATCTTCTTTCCGCTTTAAAAAAAAAATCATACTCTCTTGATGTTTTCGCTGTCTAAGATGTTACTTGGTTTTCATAATAGACTAGTTATATATCAAAACAAAAATTATATATATATATATATATATATATGTAATGATATAGAAGAGGAGGTTCATGCTTTATATCCAACAATTTGCATTATGTCACGAATGTACTATGTCCCATTTGCAGCCAACTTCAAATTCTGTAGAACTTTGCAGGAATTATGAACATGTCACGTTTGTCCTATCTGTAAAATTTAAACATTTATCAGTGTCCTAACATTCAAATAATTATGCAAGGAAACCCATTTACTTTCCAAACTTGACAAGCGAATATATATATATATATATATATATATATATATATATATACATTTGCCTATTATAGTTGCAGATGAGCCTTCGTCGAAACAGACTGTACAACATCTACTAATAAAGTTGAACCTTTTCAACCTCTATATCTCTTTTTCTTTTCTCTCTCTCTCTCTCTCTCTCTCTCTCTATATATATATATATACATGTACACTGTATGATTGTTTGAGTGTGTGCGTGTGTGGGTGAGTCTGAGAATGTGTCGAATCGATAAGTACATATAATACACTTTTAGTTTGTCAAATCTGGCTACTGCTCGTTTCATAGCCTTGAAACTACTCCAGTTTGCAAGTATTAATGCGAATGACACCATTTATTGCCAATTGATAAACAGTTTATTGTCCAAATTGTCTGTACTTGTTTTGTAATTTGTTCATTCTTTAGGGCTGCTATACTAAAAAATGAAATGTTAGAGACAATACAACTGTTTATCAAATGGCAATAATGCAATATGATCGTCTTTTCTCATTTGATTCGATTTTAGCTGACTGCTAATCCCGGCCCCCCCCCCCCCCCCCCCACTCAGAGGTCGGAATGACCGCATGCGTGTTGCCAAAATGTCCGGTAAAGGGGTACTTTTCGTGCGACAAAGTCCGGCCCGAGATTTGTAAAAAAAGGGGTGTATTTGACTTTTCACCCGGAGATTTCTTTAAAAAGGGGGTGTTTTTCTTTTTTTCTCTCATCTCTTTGGAATCCTGAGAAATTATTCCGAATTTAGTGGGGTACATTGAGCATTTTTCCTGATTTAGGGGGGTCTCCAAGGCAGGAAAAGCCCGCAAAAAGCCCGCGAAAGGGGGGTTCGGAAATGTTGGCAGTCCTCAGATAGGGGGTGCTTTTAAAAAGAGGGTACGAGCATATGCGTACCCTAAATAACACTGAGTGGGGGCCGGCCGGGCTGCTAATAAATACGGAAGCCCATTAGTGCCACCATACGAAATAAAATTTAAGAGGAATTATCTGGCGGCCGCCAGTTAATTATTATCTGGCGGCCGCCAGATAATTAAATGGCGGACGCTGCCAGATAAATAACTGTCGGTCGCCAGATAATTAACTGGCGGCCGTCAGATAATTAAGTGGCGGCCGCCAGATAATTAACTGGCGGCCGCCAGATAATTCCTCTTAAATTTTTATTTCGTATGGTGGCACTAATGGGCTTCCGTAAATAAAGTATGTTTATATGTTTCATTTAACGCCAGTAAGCGAACCAATACGCATGTATGGGGTGTCTCAACAAATACAACGAGTTTTTGATTGGCAACATCTTAAAACATCTTACAAAGTACTCAACCATCCTCAATGAAATTACAAAGGCAGTGTCTCTTGAAGTCGGTGGGAATTTCACAAGAATCTATTTCACAACTGTAACGTTATCATTGTTTTTTTGTAAGACGTATCCTTTTTTTTAAATTATTAATAGGGACTTTCAGATTATTTTGTGTGGACTGATACGTGTGACGTCCATTCAAGGCAGTGCATTAAAAGGACGTCGGTCGTAGCAATCCACGTTGTCGTTGTGCAAATCTAAAAGTCCCTATTGCTACAAAGAAAGCTCATTGCACATAATCAATAAACAATACGCGTATACCTGGCACCTGAACGTAAAGGATGATACGAGGCTTTTCAAATTGGAGGAATTGCATCATGTCAAAGATATTTAAATTTTCATTAGTATGTAGTTTGTATATCCAAAAGCTTTATTAATTACAAACAATCACTGTTTATTATTGAACAACAATAATTGTTTGTTTATTATTGAACAACAAAGAATTCAAACTTGTAATATTATATGCTATTTAAATATGTATCTGGCAATTTTGGAATCTCAAGACAGTGTGGACCTTTGGTGGGAGCGAAGATCGAATTCCTACTTTGGCTATGGGCTTCCGAAATATATGAAGCTATTTTCAAAAAAGTCAAGATATACCAAATTAATGACTACATTTCACCTGATTTAAAAGCAGATCGCCGTCCATATTTTGTTCTACGATATAACTAATATGCAACGTCTCGATGTCGCTATAGACAGTCCTTCATTCCGAATTCCATCCACCTGTTTAACAATTAATAACGTTAAACGGTAATTGTATGTGATGTGAAATGTGTGAACGGATTGATGCCTATTCTTGCTCATTTCTAAGAACCCATGGGTTGATACAGATGAATTGTTTTTGTGTTTTTACCTTTAGTAAAGCAGATGTTACTTTGGAGTCGTAACAACGTGTTATGCAATCGGTTTTATTCTCTCTTTCCTTTACCTACGTTACTGTCTTTTCTTGCTCAGCTTCCTTCCTTCTCTCATTTTTTCTCATCTTGCTCTGCTATCTCCTCTTACTCTTGGCAGCATGTATTCAACTGTTTGTTAATCTAATTGATGTATTTGTTTTGTGCACATTTATGTATTCTTATGTTATTCATTGTTGTCTTCTGCCAGTGGAGGCCAAATATCTGTGTTTTTAACGTGGACAACAAAATCTAAATCTGAATCTGAAATCTGAATCTGAACAGTATTTTGTTGAAAGGTTCACATTTATTATGAGGATACCATATAATTTGTATTTTGTTTCGGGTTTATATTCATGACGATTGTTATTGAACTTGGAAGTCAACCGCTATTGGTGAAAATGAACTACCCGTATACATTTCAGAAAGTAAGATTATTTTTTTTAAGCAGATGTTTCTGCATTTATTGATAAATCAAATGTAAAACATTCAAATAACAATAATAGTATATAATATAATTGATTGACATAAAGAGTGACAACTTGAATCACAAACACATAAAAATGCATATATATATACAATATATTAATTGAAAGCTTGAAAGTATGGAGGTATGTAAAATAATCAAGATAAATGCAGAGGCCAACTATCATAAGCAAGAATGCTTGAAATAATAAATAAATAAAAAGATAAACAAATATAATACAAATAAATAAGGTGGCCTCTCCACACTTCACTGAATAAAGGCTTCGCCTTAAAATGATGGTGAAGATCAGTTGTCTTCCCTTTGATTTCATAAGTCTTTAATGAAAAATGCAACAGGGAGGCTTGAATTAGATTATTCTATACAGTGTGTATCAAAAAAGGTTAATTCAAATTCATAGATCCAACAAGATCCAACGAGATTGACAGTCAAAAAGAACAAATCTAGAAATCTACATTTTCCTGCTACATTTGACATAATTATTATATCATAAATAAGTATTATCATTATCATTATTGTTGCTGTTGTTCTTATAATGTTTAATATAATGTTTATTTTTATTATTGATATTGCTATTATTATCATCATCATCATCATCATCATTAATATTATTGTTGCTATCATTATCATCGCCATTATCGTTGTTGTTGCTTTATAGTAATTCATATCATATAAGTTACTAATTATGATGCCTATTTTAGATTTTTTTTTTTAGAAACCAAGACAAATCTTTGGGGAATGTTATTACTATTATGTTTGCACAATGTAGAGTTTTATGATCAATCCTAATATGGAACCTTAAAATACTCCACACTGGACCTGAATGGCGAGATAGCTCAGTCGGTAGAGCAGTGGTCTCGTTATCCGGTGACCCGGGTTCGAAACCAAGTCGATGCGCTATAGTGCCCTTTGGTAAGGCATTAATCCTCATTACCAAGTCCCTCGGAGAGGACATAAGCCGTCGTCCTTCTGGTTGTTTACTAACAAGCATTTATTGCTTTCTTTAGTTGTCAGGTAAAATAACCACCACTATATCATATAGCATCATAATAATTGAATTAGTTCTTTTTCTTCTATCACGCATTGCAGGCAATTCTAAATTTAACCGTCACCATTAGCAGCTGCGGAAAACAAACATGAAAGACCCTATGCAAACCAAGTGTATCATCCTCCTCTCCGTCGTGCTCATCTTCATCTCGGTCATGATCACAGTCGAAACACAACGCAAGGCCAACGCCCTCGTCGAGTTTAACGTCGAACTCCAGGAGAAGCTCGACGCCGTGGCCACCGACCGGGAGCTCATCGGCGAGGAGCTCCAGAAGCTTGCCGAGAGGTTCAAGACCACCTCCGAGGCGAAGAGCAACAGTGATGCGTTGCTGAGGAAGAAAGAGGACGAGGCGGCGCAAGTGAGGAAGGACTGTGACGGGGAGAAGCAGGGCGCCGAAAAGGCTTTGGCCGAAAAGGAGGGAAAACTTAAGGAGCTAACGACAGAGCTCGAAAGGAGAGTGGTAATAACAATTCTGAATAATAATAAAATAATAATATTCATTTGTAAAGCGTAATAACTATGTGGATATATTCTATTGCGCTGCAAGAGCTCGTAAATGCTGTGCTATACATACTATATGAACAAGTGAGTTTTCAGTTTTGATTTAAAATTATTTAGTGATGGGGCTTTCCTGAATCTGCATGCTATATCTCCTTGATGGATTTGTTGAAAAGAAAAATGTGTTTGTTACGTCTAACATATTCATGTCAGGTATATTTCTTACGTGATTTCTAGAATTTATTCCAAAAACTCAAAAGGCAGTGTTTAAAGATACTACGTCCCTTTTGCAGCCAACATCAAATTCTGTAGAACTTTTCAGGTATTATGAATATGTCATGTTATGTCCTATCTGTGAAATTTAAACGTTAGCAGTGTCCTAATATTCAAATTATGCAAGGAAACCCGTTTACTTGCTAGACTTCACTGTCAGCCACTATTGAGAGAGACTGACTGGCTTGTTTTTCTTTGGTAATAACATAAATAAAATGAGCTGTAAAAGGTACATGAGCATTTGTCTACATCAATAACCCACTTCTTGTAATGGCCAAAATTAAACTGATTAAATATTTGCGCAGCATAAAACGTATGACCATTCGGTATAATGGTCTGAAAATCAGACTATTACTTACTGGTTCTATAACTCTTAAGTCGATTCGACAACTAATAGTTGTTGTTTTTCCACTTAAGACATTTTCAAGCCCCTCTTTTTTAGGGAAGCTCTAAATTAGTATTATATTTCAAATGCCGTTGGAATGTAACCTTTTCATTTTTTTGGCCGGCAAATGGGACATAGTACCTTTAAGTAAAATATAAACCTGTCGCTGGATGGGCTAAAAATAAACCTGTAGTCTGAATTTCAATTGCAAAAAATGATTTCAGACGCAGGGTCGGGTAAATTCGTAAAATATGAACCAAGGCATAACATTACTTATAATCCAATGCTGGGTTAATTTGTGCTTGAATGATGAAAGTAAAGTTTAGAAATGAACAATATTGCTTGGGGGCCGCAGGATCTTATTTTGATTTGAGGAAAATTCATTCTTTGATACCTACAGTATGGGACGTGGGAGCTAGACATAAATTCTAGCTGCACTAATTTGCCCATCTGGGATTAGACCTCCCTGCCATGGTCACTGCAGGTGATTATCTCATCAAATCAGCTCTTAATTAACGTTTAAAAAAGGGAACCATGTGGGACCAGCGGTCACCGATTAGGCATTGTTTGCTATAAAGATGGCTCAAGTAGCTATAAGTAGTGCAGTGGGGCTTTAAAGGTCACTATTTTTTTCAAAAGACGATTGTCTTTGCCTTTAAAAAATCTTGGTTGAATTTCTTTCTTTTTTCATTCAGGCTGAGATTGAAGGCGTTAGAAGTGAATTACAAAGCTCACTCGATGAAGCAGGGGCAGCTAAAGATGGACAGCAAAAAGCAGAAACCAGAGTTCATGAATTAAACAACCAAAATTTCGATTTGAGGCATAAAGTTGAAAAGGTAAAACTGGTAACGATTTTCCCCATTTAAATGTTGTTTTTAAGTTAACACTGGCATATTTGAAGGAGGGGCAAATGGGGGGGGGGGCGGATACGCCCCTATTGACATATCCAACCAAGAAAAGGAAATGCAACCACACTATCAGACCTGGGGGGGGGGGGGTGTTTCACAAAGATTTTAAGTCAAACTTAACTCTAAGTTGGACTTAAAATTTATGGAGAGCTATTAATTTTGTATAGCCTTATAATGAAATACATTCAAAAGTGAAATTAAAGTATTTTAGACTTTTAATAAATTCCACATCAAGAACATGAAATCTCCAAAGATAATAGAAAATATGAATGATTTGAATCAACATTCTATGCCTTTGAAAATAATGTTTTCAAAATATTATCAATGATGCTAACGGCTTTCCATAATTGTTAAGTCCAACTTAGAGTTAAGTTTGACTTAAAATCTTTGTGAAACACCCCCCCCCCCCCAGGTCTGATAGTGTGGTTGCATTTAGGCTGACATATTCTTGCGCAAATGAGTCATTTTAAGCGAAGCCCACCCCCCCCCCCCCCCCCACCCCCAATGACGCAAACCAGGACCCTCTTTTTTAAGTTGAAATGTTTTGTCCCTCCTGAAGCCAAGGTCTGGACACGCCACTGTTCGTTACAAATATACAAATATGGTTGTCAGATTGCCATATGGATAAACTTTGTGAAAATGATAAATTAGAATAATTTAAATAACTCGTCGAACCATATTTCATTGCACATGATCTGGCAGCCATTATGTGAAGAGAAAAAGACAGTTGTTAAACACGGCGAGGTGCAAATATTTGTGATAATATTTCATTTAGACGCAACTTATATACATGTATATTCGAAGTGTAATTAGATATAACCGACTGGGCATCATTTTAAAGCAAAACGTGAACTTAATGTCAAATGCCCTTTATGCCCTGGACATAATATCACCGATATTCAAACAGTTTAATATTATCACTTATACTTCTTTTAATCTAAGAGAGAGAGAGAGAGAGAGAGAGAGAGAGAGAGAGAGAGAAAGAGAGGAGAGGGGCAGAGAACGAGAAGGAGGGAGAGAGAGAGAGTGTGTGTGTGTGAGAGAGAGAGAGGAGAATTAAATCAGTGTTTAACCCAAAATGAACATCAGCTGGCTTCATTGATTCGCCATCGACCAAACGGTGTTAAATCTGACATCTGGATAAATTAGTTCTACCATAATAATCAATCCATAGCTCAAATAAAATTATATGTATCTTTGAATACATAAATCTCGGTACCCTAATTACTATACTGTAAATGATTGCTGCTTAAACTTGATAGCATATAGCTTTCGTTGATTCGGGTGGCAGCCTAGGGAGGCGGGGGGGGGGGGGGTGTAGATTTGTTAGGAGGGGTTTCCCACTCTCTATTGGTGAGGAAAATCTTTTGCACGGTTTTTCTCTCCCTTTATTTGATTTGCTTATTTTTTTTCTACAATTTTTGGTCGGCTTTTCATTATGATTCTTCTCTCTCTCTCTCTCTCTCTCCCCCTCCACATGATTCGACCCTTGACCCCATGCAGTTAAACGTATATTTAGAGAAGGCCCAGGCGAACCAGCAGCCACCACAAGCACAACAACCGCAACAATCTCAAGCCCAGCAACAAGCACAACAGCAACAACAACAGCAACAACAGCAACAACCACAACAGCAGCAGCAGCAACAACAAAATGAACAAGCTGCAGCTATAGAACAGCAACAACCACAACAGCAGCAACAACAAGGTGAACAAGCTGCAGCTCAAGAACAGCAACAACCACAACAGCAGTAGCAGCGACAACAAGGTGAACAAGCTGCAGCTATAGAACAGCAACAACCACAACAGCAGTAGCAGCAACAACAAGGTGAACAAGCTGCAGCTATAGAACAGCAACAACCACAACAGCAGCAACAACAAGGTGAACAAGCTGCAGCTCAAGAACAGCAACAACCACCACAGCAACAACAACAGCAACAACCACAACAGCAACAACAACAGCAACAACCACAGCAGCAACAGCAGCAACAGCAGCAACAACAAGGTGAACAAGCTGCAGCTATAGAACAGCAACAACCACAGCAGCAGCAACAACAAGGTGAACAAGCTGCAGCTATAGAACAGCAACAACCACAACAGCAGTAGCAGCAACAACAAGGTGAACAAGCTGCAGCTCAAGAACAGCAACAACCACCACAGCAACAACAACAGCAACAACCACAACAGCAACAACAACAGCAACAACCACAGCAGCAACAGCAGCAACAGCAGCAACAACAAGGTGAACAAGCTGCAGCTATAGAACAGCAACAACCACAGCAGCAGCAACAACAAGGTGAACAAGCTGCAGCTATAGAACAGCAACAACCACAACAGCAACAGCAGCAACAACAAGGTGAACAAGCTGCAGCTATAGAACAGCAACAACCACAGCAGCAGCAACAACAAGGTGAACAAGCTGCAGCCATAGAACAGCAACAACCACAACAGCAGTAGCAGCAACAACAAGGTGAACAAGCTGCAGCTATAGAACAGCAACAACCACAACAGCAGTAGCAGCAACAACAAGGTGAACAAGCTGCAGCTATAGAACAGCAACAACCACAACAGCAGTAGCAGCAACAACAAGGTGAACAAGCTGCAGCTATAGAACAGCAACAACCACAACAGCAGTAGCAGCAACAACAAGGTGAACAAGCTGCAGCTATAGAACAGCAACAATTAACCACAACAGCAGTAGCAGCAACAACAAGGTGAACAAGCTGCAGCTATAGAACAGCAACAACCACAACAGCAGTAGCAGCAACAACAAGGTGAACAAGCTGCAGCTATAGAACAGCAACAACCACAACAGCAGTAGCAGCAACAACAAGGTGAACAAGCTGCAGCTCAAGAACAGCAACAACCACAACAGCAGTAGCAGCAACAACAAGGTGAACAAGCTGCAGCTATAGAACAGCAACAACCACAACAGCAGTAGCAGCAACAACAAGGTGAACAAGCTGCAGCTCAAGAACAGCAACAACCACAACAGCAGTAGCAGCAACAACAAGGTGAACAAGCTGCAGCTATAGAACAGCAACAACCACAACAGCAGTAGCAGCAACAACAAGGTGAACAAGCTGCAGCTCAAGAACAGCAACAACCACAACAGCAGTAGCAGCAACAACAAGGTGAACAAGCTGCAGCGCTATAGAACAGCAACAACCACCACAGCAACAACAACAGCAACAGCCACAACAGCAACAATCACAAGGTGAACAAGCTGCAGCTATAGAACAGCAACAACCACCACAGCAACAACAACAGCAACAACCACAACATCAACAATCACAAGGTGAACAAGCTGCAGCTAGTACAGCAACAACCACCACAGCAGCAGCAGCAACCTTAGGACCAACAAAAACCAAAACCACAGGAGCAACCTCAAGGTTAAACTTTAAAATAATTCGTGTAAAACTTAATATAGAATGAATAAAAGCAACCTCCAAACCTTCATCAGGTAGTCTAAGGACAAATGGATATGAAGGAAATATAGCATATAAAACAAAAAAGTACCATGGTAACCATGTTTTTTTTTTGGTCCAAATTACCATCCACCATTCGAACCAGCATGTTGACCACGGTATCAAATAATGAAATTATCATTATATGATACATGGTAATTTGCCCCCCCCCCCCCCCCCTTTTATAAAGGTATACCATGCATGCGTGTGCGTCAAGACAATCTGATCAGGAGTCACTTTTATGCTAATAAGCCAGTTCATAGATTACAATCTGCGCATGGGCAGATAAAGGTCATTTGTACCAAAATGGTAAAACCCACACTGAGTGAATACTGGATTATGCGCTCAGGAAAGTTATGTAACATTATTCATTTATGCACCAACGGTACATTCTATGATACGCAGGTGGAAATATTCTTTTCAAGAGGTAAAACAAAAGGTATTCATGAATCACATCTAGGACTTTGGCAGTTATTATTCTAAGATGCTCAACGTGGAACTTCTCCATTTGTAAATTAAGATCTGTGGATATTTGGGGTCATTTGTACCATGTGCTCTCTTTAAACTCCCTTATTGGGAATGTATTTAGACTTGCAAAATGTCTTTACAGAAGTATTTTCTGGACCTTATATTTTGAACATGGTATATATAGAACTATAGAGTATAGGAACGTCTGATATACAGAACAAAATATTTGTAGGTGATTGATAAGCTTTAAAAACTCAAAGACAACTCAATGTTGGCCTTGATTCCAACCGCAATAATCTTATAGCTGTTTCATAAATAAATGAATTCATGTTTTTTTGTTATCAACAAACAGTAAAACAATGACAAACTTTTGTTTGTTCATGTGTGTGTGGACGCGTGTACGTATGTGAATGTTATGATGATTGATTTTTGTTATTTATTTAAAAAACAAACAAACATTATTTCACTTTATTCCTTTCTCCTTTTATTCATTTTGTTCTCTGGCATAATTATTGATGTTATATTTTTACATGGAGGAGGGCCTATGCCCAATATTCCCGTTTCAAAGATTGTATTGTACCCAGACAAACTGGAGGTGCAGAAGGGGCCATTTTAATCCTGAAAACAGAGTATAGGGATATTATTTTAGCATATTTCTTCTTCTTTTCATTTCAAATTAGTTTCTTCCAAATGTCTAATGATTTTTAGTTCATATTTTATTTGGGTCAAGCTTGCTATTCATAAGGGCCGCTATTCAAAATGACCATTATTCATAAGGACTGCTGTCCATTACGCATGACAATAAATAGCGATCCTCATAAATAGAAAGCAGACCCCTTTTATTTCAGAACTCTTGAGAACTTGAGAGAGTGCATTGTGTCAAACTTTAATATATTACGATTTCTCGTGCTAATGCATATAGTCTATAGAATTGGTGTCTTAAAAGAGCAAAAATTAATGTGAATTAAAATTGAATTCGTGTGCTAAAGAGTATGATATATTGAATCAAAGCATAACTAATTCAATTGCCTTATTTATTTAATTTGTCTTCCAATTATTAATCGGAAGCCTGCATGTTTGATGATAGATGTATGTGACTACTATGCCCCCCCCCCCTTTAATTATTCAGCGTCTGGCTGAGTCGTTGCGATTTTTTTTGGGACTAAAAAATATATATATATATATGTTCTCTTTCCCACAAGGTGCCCCCCCCCCCCGTGTGACCCCCCCCCCCCCCCCCCCGGCAAGAAATTCCTGGATCCGCGGCGCCTGGTAATACCGTATTATAGGATAGCAATATATGTGAAGTTCGAGCTTTGAAATACATGTATTTTAGCATAGACAAACCATTTTGAAAGTTCATGTTCATCAGTTCACAAAAGGTTCAGGTTTTTATCTCTAAGGTTGTCAGATTGTGTTATGTCAGTTTTAAGTTGTTGTATAAAAATGTCAACAACACTGAGTTTGTTGTCTAATGGAGCAGCATTGATCTACACTTGCCACTCTCCACCCAGGTGTTAAGTGGGTACCGGTTGGAAGGAATTCCTTGAAATGCTGTGAGCGTCGAAATCGGCAGCCTAGCATAGCCGGGTAATGTTGGAGCGCCTTGAGGACTTGCAAGGTCGATACGTGCGCTATATAAGAATCCAATATTAATATTATTATTATTATTATTATGTTCCCATGCTTCCATAAATGGTTTGATGACGCAAGAGATAAGGATAATTGCCTTAGTGAACTTGTGAACACCTTTTAATTTGAGAAAATATGAATTTTATAATAGCCTACATCTTAGTTGATATATACATGTATATGAAATAGGTATATGGATGTTTGTGCAAATGTTGTGCATTTGTTCGAAACGATATCAAGGTCTCTCTCCGCTCCGTGCCTTCTATATAATATACTATGAAACTAAATGAACTTTTTATATATGTTTTCAATCTTATGTATATGACATTGTCTTTCGTGCTAGCATGGGAGAAATGTTAATTTAACATTGAAATAAATGAATATTTAAAGTCAACTGAATGTGTGTTATTCTTGTATTAGCCATAATCGTATGGTAACCATATTCATACTTGAGTGCCTATATACAAATTGCTTCATTCACCTGCTACGAAAAATTGGATTTCAATAATCAGAATCAGAATGCATATATTTGCATATATTACATGTTGTTAGGCAGGGGAAACCATGTTTGTCCTACCTAGCAACAACTAATGTATGTAATTTTAATCGAGATGCTTTATTTGTAACAGATGAATGGAACGATTCGTATTGAGGTGCTTTACAGAGGCATATGCATACATTTTGGTTACATTGCAAAAATGGCCTATTCTGAATGTTATCTGAATTCTTCTTACTAATCGTCCACCCTCCTTCCACCACTTCCAGTTAAAACTTAATTTTGGAGTATTTAGGAGGATTACAAACCAAGTACAAGGATTAAGATTAAGGATCAGGATTAGGAATTAGGAATTAGGATTAAGATTTGTGCATTAAATGTGATTACATTACAAAACTGGCCTATTGGCTATCCTAGATCCACATTTTATTAGCTAACCCAATGGCCGAACAAGAGGGTGGCATAGGGATTCTGTTTCTGTTGCGTCGGTAGACCTTTACTCAGGGTTAACTGTACTTCACCGACGTTAGACTCTTGGGTAGGGTTCAACGATCTGCCACGTCGCCATCCAAATTTGAATAGAATGTATTTACACATTATATGTATCCATAATTGGGCATGCAGCCACTGCAGGAGTCATGCATTCTGTCCTCTTGAAGAAAAAAAAGAACATACGGCCACGGCCACGCCAACACTAGCTTGCATACTTCAGTCAGTCATAGTCCATGAATGAGATTGATATCGAGAAACAGAGAGATATATATAGAGAGAGAGAGAGGGAGAGAAAGAGATAATTAAATTTGACACTACTACAATTCCATAAAGCCTGGAGCTGAGCCAAACTCTGGCAGCTGTGTCTGGAGCAGAGACTACAGTGTATCGTAAATATAAACAAGGCACAAATATTGGTAAATTGCTGTTTGGTCTACAAACAAATCGTACTACCCAATTTGTCTTTCCAAATATGGTCTACAGCCCGTCTTCTATCCACATGGTCTAATAATCATTTGGTCTAATAATCATTTGGTCTAATAATCATATGGTCTAATAATCATTTTGTCTACGGTACTTACTTATCGTTTGGTCTGATGACCATTTAGACTAACAGGCATTTGGTCTAATTTCTACATGGTCTTATCTCCAATTAGTATACTACACATTCATTCAGTATATTTACCAGTTAGTCTAATTCCCAGTTTGTCTAATGCCCAAATCGTCTACCATCCATTAGGTCTAATAATTATTTGATTATTATTTATGATTAAATGATTTCACAAACTGGGAATTAGACTGACTGGAAATGAGACTTCATACATGTAGGTAATAGAGCGATTGGGTAATAGACAAACTTGATCGTAGTCATACATTGTAGACCAAATGACCAAATATTCACAACTGAATGACACGTGATGGTAAAACTAAAATAACAACATCTGTGCTGTCTGCATAGTCTCATAGTTCAGACACTTTGCTATGAACCATGACTGACAAAGGTTTGTGCAAGCCTGCAAACTAGTGCATAACATCTGGCCTTACTCTCCAGATTCCCATTACCGGTACTCATCTCAAGGGATATGGAGACCGGGCATTTTCCTCTATTGCTCCTCGCCTGTGGAATTCCCTCCCATCATCTATTCACGAAATTGACAACCTGGACCCCTTCAAAGCTTCACTCAAAACTCACATCTTCCTTAAGACATTTAAATGCTAATTTCATCGGAGGAGCTCGCGCCTTTGAATGTTTTTTTAAACAGATATATGGCACCATACAAATGCTGTTCATCATCATAACAGTGTATGAAACAATGGTCTGAAATGTGAAACTACGGTGGGTACATGATATGGTCTACTGAGCTGGATATCCAGTGGCCCTGTATTATAGCTGGCACAGCCAATGTTTTTGTTGTTTACTTTTGATTGGCAACCAGTTGAGATTGACCATTTTTGAGACAATTGTTTGTTGTAATGTAATTAAAAAAACCTGAACAAAGTCAATTCTTATTATTCTATTCATGCCAGAACTAGAAGGAGGTGCGATAGCTCAGTCGGTAGAGCAGTGGTCTCGTAATCCGGTGTCCCGGGTTCGAAACCAAGGCTTTGGTAAGGCATTAAGCCGTCGGCTATCTGGTTGCTTACTTACAAGCATTTATGCTTTCTTAGCAGTCAGGTAAAATAACCACCACCACAATAAGAAGTACTACGAACCCGTCCTCAAACGGTCACTTGACACGCTAACAACTTTTCACTATGCCAACACTGTATTGCCTTTATGGAGACTTGTCTCGCAATAAAGTAAAAATGCTTGCCTTACAAAAATACAACCATCCACAGCAGTAGCAATGTTAAAATATGTTCTTCTTTTTTTATTACTAAAAACATATAAATACAAAATGGAAATAGAATCCTGCCAATATGCAATGAATGTATCAATGGTATTCTATCTTTTATCCAAATAGCTCTACAGTGGAATCTTACTACAGCGAAACCTTATTGCAATGAACACTATTGTAATGAAATTCCATGTTTACAATGTAATTCTATAGGTCCTATTTGTAAAGTGGATCCTCATTACAATGTCCTCGATTGGAATCACCTTGTTATAATAAAACCATATCATATCAGGGTTAAACAACAACAAAATACAAGGAAGTGAAACTGGCAATATTATCTCGTTATAATTAATAACAAGAGTTTGTTATAATAGTGTTCAAGTATGGGAGGCTCCCCTGTATTCTCTAGATATTTTGGCTGTAATACAACACGGTTTTGATATTACAAGGAAAAGTCCTACATGTAGGTCCCAGAGGTTTGTACAATCCAGTTTCACTGAAGCGGCTCATTCAGATATATGACATGGTGAACCTTCGCAAAATAGCTGCCGTGTTTTTTCAATGTGTGAATGAATGGCAACTGAGTGCAACAAAGGTCCTGCGCGAATTCAGTAAGCTCTATGCCGAGCTGCCAACCTTGTGCGACCAAAAAAAGGAATCATGATGGCAAAAAAAAGGAATTTCAAGCAAAAAAAAGGAATACATAAAAACGAAACTTACAACCACGCGGACACACTTCCAATGCAGAAATGTTCATTCATCATGCTGTTTTTTCCATACAAGCAAGTAATTTTTTTGGTGGTTATTTTGGTATTATCGGCATTTCATTTTTTTTAGAGAATATTTTTCTCTTCAAGTATGTTTTAAAATTAGTTTTCTATTGAATTTGTGATCAAATCACCATTTTAGGGCAGTTGTTTGACGTGCGGTATGTAAAAAAAAAAAAAAAAAAAAATTATTAATTTTTTTTATTTTATTAAAGAACGTATTTTATGAGAAAAAACGTAATACCGTAATTTGGAGGGAAAAACGGAGTAATTCCGGCAAAAACGGAATGGTTGGCAGCTCTGTCTATGTTAAAAGGTACAGAAATATGAAGTGTATTACACTGTACCACATCATTAAAAGAAGCACAGCGGTTTTGCTGTGTCATATCTGAGTGAGACGTAATCTTTGAAGTCTATCTAGATAGCTGTCGAGTGGCAACTTAGTCCTTTAAACTCCATGGGACCATGGCAATTACCTGATTAAATTGCTGATTACTGATTACTGGCTCGGTAACAATATAACACATCAGGTACACTGTACCTCCACAAATAAGTTGATATTTATGGAGTTAATCTCTAAAAGTGTTCTTATTCATCATACCAAGGGCCCACTGTAACATGATGCCATTCCAGTCAGTGCTTCAACATTTGCTCTAGGAACTTGTCAAAGATATAGGATTTGGGTTGTAAATGAGCTTTCGGTTAGGTTGAGGGTTAGAATTGTGGCAGCATTCGGTCCAGACTCCAGAGATGACGTGAAGAAATTGGGTAGAGTATAATATGACATTGGCTACAGAGCAATTGTGGCTGGAGCATGCGTCATACAATAATCTCATCAAAATGTCTAATGCTTTGAGAAAGAAAAAAAAAATGAAAATTTCGCAGACTGACAAAATGGAATTGTATGTACAATAGTGTCTGTCAATTGTACAGGCACTATTTCAATCAAAATCCAAAACATACTACATGGATTGAAAAGTTAATGCTTACACTGTCTAACACTATGCTATGACAGGAAACAAAGTGAATACTTTTTGTGTAGGGGGAGGGAAATTATACCACTTAAAAGACTGTTATGGTCCATAAAATTGGCTGAGCGCATCTATAAAATGGATACATAAGGAAGAAAATTGTTTGTTTTTTGGTGGAAAAGACACAGCCACTTCACTTGCAGTTGCATCACACACTATTTATTTGTACTACATTGTATTATTATTGGGAAGTAAGATTTCCAAATTTGAAAGAAAGAATTTTTTTTTTTTTTTTTTTTTTTCCAAATTTGCTCACAGAAGTTTGTCATCCCCCCCCCCCAAAAAGGGGGGGGGGGGGGGTAGAGGGTCATAAATGTTTTGGTTTTCCAACAGCCTACAAAAATGTAGGCTTGTAAAGCCCCTGAAGAAAATGCATTCTCAGAAAGTCGAAGTTGATCATCTTACATTGGAACCTGGTGGCTGTTTCACAAAACTTGTCATCAGTGACAAATGATAAGGTTTTGTTATAAGCTACTGAAATCCTTGCTTCTGATTGGTTATCGGCAGATTTATCACTGATTTTTGTCATTTGTCATTGAATAAAGGCTTTGTGAAATCGGCCCCTGGAAGACACGAGCACAGTCTTCTGATATCATCATTCCAACAAGAGTAGATTGAAGAGATTTGAACTTTCTGCATCTCCATTTGCAACCACGGTTCCTTTTATAATCCAGCAATTTAGGGATCTCATGCTGCCTGACGTGGGCGAGTCTCAATATTTCAAACACCGCCGTCAATTCTATAGTCTCTGTCTTTCTGCATCTTATCTCCAAGATGAAGTTTCAGTCGATAACCAGCTCATCGCATCCCCAATCCTCGTAGCTTCCATCGGGGAGGTATCGTCGGATGATGATGGGAATCTTCCTGGCTCTGAAACAAAGTCATACAAGGAAAAAAGATTTAAAATGAATTATCAGGGAATGTGAGAATTGGAAGCAACGAGAGAAACAACAAATACATGATAGCAGAGCGAGAGTGATTTAACTCTAAAATGTTTCAAAAGAACCCCACAAAAAGACTATATGAATACATGATATCAATAAAAGGTAATTTAGCTCTTAAAACTTAGGATATCCAACAAGCTTCACTAAAATGTACTAATATTTAGTTTTTCAAATAAGAATAAAAAGGAAGCAAGGAGCAAAAATAAAACTGATGCAAAGGGATCCATTTATACAAGGTAAATGAAGGGGGGAAAATGAGTAAAATGTAACAAAAAGTAATGGAAACAAAATCACAAAAGAAATGGATGGGTAAGGGGTGGTTGAGAGAGAGGTGAGAAAGGATGAGGCAAGAGAAAATAAGAAACGAAGAGACAAAATAGATTAATCTTAGTCACTTACTTGAGTTCTTTCATAGCAATCTGTAAAGGATCGGTCTCTCCTTCCAGTTCAACCATAACAGGTGCATTCATCCTGGATCAAAGAGTGGTAATTCAAAGCAATATTCGTAACTTTTACAATTTTGAAAGAAAAATATGCTCCCTCTCCCTCTAAATGGTAGACCAAAAGTCCAAAAGGACACCTGAAAAGTCTCATGACCACCTCCTCCTCCTTCTTTCCTACCTAGTACCTCTTCCTCCCCCTCCTTCTCCTCCTCCTCTTCTTCTTCTCCTTGTCCTTGTCCTTCCTCCTCTTCTTCTTCTTCTTCTTCTTCTTCTTCTTCTTCTTCTTCCTCCTCCTCCTCCTCCTCCTCCTCCTCTCTCCTCCTCCTCCTCCTCCTCCTCCTCCTCCTCCTCCTCCTCCTCCTCCTCCTCCTCCTCCTCCTCCTCCTCCTCCTCCTCCTCCTCCTCCTCCTCCTCCTCCTCCTCCTCCTCTTCCTCTTCCTCTTCCTCTTCCTCTTCCTCTTCCTCTTCCTCTTCCTCTTCCTCTTCCTCTTCCTCTTCCTCTTCCTCTTCCTCTTCCTCTTCCTCTTCCTCTTCCTCTTCCTCTTCCTCTTCCTCTTCTCTTCCTCTTCTTCTTCTTCTTCTTCTTCTTCTTCTTCTTCTTCTTCTTCTTCTTCTTCTTCTTCTTCTTCTTCTTCTTCTTCTTCTTCTTCTTCTTCTTCTTCTTCTTCTTCTTCTTCTTCTTCTTCTTCTTCTTCTTCTTCTTCTTCTTCTTCTTCTTCTTCTTCTTCTTCTTCTTCTTCTTCTTCTTCTTCTTCTTCTTCTTCTTCTTCTTCCTCCTCCTCCTCTCCCCCCTCCCTTTTTCTCTCTCCCCCTTCTCCTCCCCCTTCTCTTTGTCGTCTCCTTCTCCTTCAAATATGAATTTGCTAATTTTCTGTCCCACACTAATTACAATATCCATATACTCCCAAATATAGCTCCGCAAAAGAACTAGTATTACAGGAAGAAGAATGGGCTTACGCTATCTGTAACGCTCTTGTCCCTAACACTCTTGCCCGCTCATATTTCGTCATATAAGGCGTTGTAATTCTCTCCGTCTGTTGAACGCCTTCTCCCGCCGGTAGCACGTCAATGTGGTCTCCATCATCCGCTTCCTAGAAATCAACGAAAAAGTTGGGGAAAAAAGACTCAATGAACATGAATGGAAAAGATAGAAATACATGGAATTGCAGTGATTGCATAATGGCCTTGTTTGGTAAAATTGGTATCTTCAAGCTATTCTAGGCTCTTCTCATTCTGTTATCCCTGATAATCTTGCAATAATGTTTGGGTTGAACTTCTATGCCACTGGATTATTTTGTTCAATGTTCATACCCTGGTACAAATCTAAATAATAATAATAATAATAATAGGCATTTCTATAGCGCCATCTATCTAGATAATTCTATTCCGAGGCGCATTATTATTACCCCGGCTTTAGCCTAGCTGCCGTTTATACAGCCTCTTATCTTTATTGAAAATGGACACTGGCCTTTTCCCTTACCAAACAAACATTTATTTTCTCTTTTAAACCACATTATTTTAAAAGAATTAAGATATAGACCTACGATACTTGATTCTTGATAAAAATCTTACATTAAAAACAAATAAATAACATGTTGTACCTCTTCATTAGCTTCATCAAGTGGTTCATCTCCATCATCAAAGTCCTCGTCAAAGCTGCAAAGAGTTAAGAAAAAATTAATTCAATAAAATACTTTTTTTATAATTTACACGTTGACTTGATTTCAAATTTTCTTCAGTTCAATTCATTTCAAATCGCAAAATTCAGCAGTCATTCAATTTTGGAAGCAGAACTATTTAAGTTTCCCAACCTCAACTCCAATTTTATCTGCAGCAGCCGCTGGCCCTTGAGCCTTAGCCAAAAATTTAGATCCTGAGGCTCAGCCTCAGGTGCAGGCTTCACTCACTCCAGCAAAGCATAGAGAGTCAATGCTAATGCGTATTGACCTCTAGCACTGCATACTTGCTGTGAGGCAGGTATTATTAGACCTATACACAAATATACACACCACACAATATTGCATAGACTGCAAACAATAGGACCGATTTTGAGTGAAATCAGTTGAGTTTTGTACAGTGGTGTTTGAAATGTTGAGAATCAAAAGCACAGCTTTTACAACACAGCCAGGATAGTGATGCTCCTACATGTATGTGTGGCTTTACTCAGCTCAGCACTCAATTCTAAACTATTCTCTAAACATAATCGACATTGTCTTGGCATATTTTTCAGCACAATTTTGAAGAACATGTTTGTCCCTAGACTCAGTATCCAACTCATCATTTAATGATTTATTTTTTGTGACATACATTACTAATACGCTAAATAGATTTAGTGTTAGTTGGACGGCGCGATCGCGGAACACATGATCTTTGAGTGCTCTTCACTGAACTCTAAATTTACATTAATTTTCCCCATTTCGCGGTGAAAAATTTGGTTATTTTTTACATTATCTCTAATTTTATTAGTCATGAGCCAATTTTAGGTTGGATTTATGTCATATTATACCAGCTTTTTGGATTCTACAGTGGATAACTTCTCACGGACCCACAACCCAAGACAGCCATCTTGGAAATTTGAGTGTCATGTAGGCCCATGCATGTCTTCTTGTGTACTGTAGTGTATGTCTACTGTATATCAATCACACCATGATTAACTTCAGAGGACTTGATAGCCAGGTGAAAGCATACACCACAGCTTCTCACTATCATCTTTGGTGTTATCCTGGATCAATTTTTTACCAACTTATGAGAGTATTGTGCATGCCAATTTGTGCAAGTTTTGGACCCATCGCTGGAGCCTTGGAGTTGAAGAACTTCTTTGTTTAGTCTAGATCAAGCTTAGTCGAACAATTAAGGGCAGCTTTGTCAATGGATCATGACTTTTCACCTCTCACCCAAGCCTAGGATCCCCATTTCCTGTTGAACTGTAAGTTTTCTACCGTATCTATACGAGCACGCCCATGTTTTAATTATTCTGCCTCGGATATTTTGTCCTTGAATTTTGATCAGTCATCATATATCAGTAGAGCCTGCCATCACTAGAGGACCAATAGATAAGAACAGTACATCATCACTGCCAAGTTTGCCATCATGTTTAACTGGCAGGTTTTTTGCAGGACTCCTTATCCGGCCCGTTCTGCTCGCAAACATCACTTCCATTGAGCAATTTGCTGTAGACTTTAACCTACCAATGAACAGAGATCTAAACTTGAACTGTTACCCAGTTAAATTCAACAATGCACCAATTACTAATCAAAGAAATTCCTCCCAGCATCCTGGGCTTCTTCGATGCTAAGCCTGTCTCACACAAGGTTCAAACCAAAGCCAAAGGAAAGCTCTGTATTAATGTATCTAACTATTCTCTTGATACTCCAATCGCATGACACAGATATTAACCCCGGCCCTCATACTCCAAAGTTTCCATGTGGAGTATGTAAGAAAGCAGTTCGCTGGTCTAAAACCAGAATGTCAGTTGCTTGTGATTCATGTGATACATGGTATCACATTGACTGTATAGGGATGTCGTCAGAATCGTATGATAGAATCAACAAGTCAAATGTCAGCTGGATCTGCGCGGCTTGTGATTCTCCGAATCACTCCCTATCTGTACTCGACTCCTACCTGAGTGTATCTGAAAACAGGTTTCAGGTATTATCAGATATCGACAACTCGCAAAGTGAGCATAATCTTGCTCCTAATAGCAGCTACAGTGAAGACTCAAGGTGATCCTCTGCTCCTTCACCCTTGAGTAACAGCAAACAAGACTCCACTGATTCTGCGCCTAATCCTGGATCCCCTACTCACCAATCTTCTCCTATAAAAGGCAAAAATAAAAGGCAAAAATAAAAGGAGGAAGAACATAACCAGACCGTTGAAAGCCTTGTCTGTCAATCTCCAATCCATGTACGCTAAAAGAGAAGCGTTTTGGGAAGCATTGGAGAGTTGTCAGCCGGACGTAATGATTGCCAACGAAACCTGGCTAAAACCAACATTGTTGAACTCGGAGATGATGCCAGCAGGTTACAATACACCCATCAGGAAAGACAGACCCGATGGATATGAAGGCGTTCTTCTTGCCACCAAGAATGATCTAGTCGACTGCGAAGTTGAAGTAAAGTCTGACTGTGAGATCATTGCAACCAAGATCCAGCTCTATGGCCAACAACCGCTCATTGTAGTGTCTGCCTACCGACCTCCTAAAAATGACCTGGTTTATGCTCAGTCCCTGTGCCAAGCAATCCAAATTAAAGTCAGCAATCATCTGCAGTAGTCTGGGTCAGCGGGGATTTCAACCTTCCTGACATAAATTGGAAAACCGCGGCTGTAGATGGACACCAATACACCGCTACACTTAACAACTGCTTCATATCTACATTCAATGATGTTGGGCTGTCACAGACTGTCTACTTTCCAACGCGAGGGAACAGAACATTCGACCTGTTCCTCACGAGTAGACCAACACTTATCAGCAAATGCGTACCTTTGCCAAGAGTCGGTGATCATGATATGATCCTCGCGATATCTGATGTACGTGCCAAGAAACTGAAACCAGTCCGCCGGAAAATCTTTCTATGGAGAAAGGCTGATTTTGATTGCATCAAATCAGAAATTCTGTCTTTTGGGAAGTCATTTGTCAAATCAAATTAAACCAACACCAATGTGGATGATATGTGGGAACAAATATCTTGAGAGCTCCAGAAGGTGCTTGACACCATGGTTCCTTCCAAGTTTTCTTCTCCACGCTATAGTCAACCATGGATAAATCAACATCTGAAAACCCTATCCAGAAGAAAGAAACGAGCGTACAAAAGAGCACGCAAGTCTCGCAGACCAACGGACAGGGACAGATACAAGAATCTCAAGAAAGTCATGCAGAAAGAATGCAGATCTGCCTACCATTCATACATAAACGACATGCTTTGTGAAGAAGGCAAACCCAAGAGGTTCTGGTCATACTTAAAGAACACCCGATGCGAGAGTACTGGTGTCGCGCCCTTGCTGAAGGATGGTATTCTACAGTGTGACTCCACAGCCAAGGCCAACCTACTCAATGATCAGTTTGCCTCTGTTTTTACCCATGAGGATGCATCGCACCTACCAGACCTCAGTGAAAGCCCACACCCATCAGTCCCTGCCTTTGTTATCGACAGCAAAGGGGTTAGGAAACTTCTCGCCAACCTCAAATCCCACACGCACACAGCCTGTGGCCCTGACAACCTACCTGCGTACCTGCTGAAAGAAATCTCAAGTGAGCTAGCCCCAGTTCTTTCCCTTCTGTTCAATGCCTCACTACAGCAGGGTAAAATTCCTCACGCATGGAAAGTAGCCAATGTCGTACCCATTTTTAAGAAGGGTGGCAAACACAAAGCGGAGAGCTACAGACCCATCTCCCTAACCTCTATCATCTGTAAGGTCGCTGAGCACATTATCCACAGCCAAATCATCCATCACCTAGACGAACACAACCTCCTAACAGACTTTCAATATGGCTTTAGGAGAAAACGATCTTGTGAGTCGCAGCTTCTTGTAACGGTAGATTACCTTGCGACAGGACTCAGAGATAAACAACAGATCGACGCCATTCTACTCGATTTTTCGAAAGCGTTCGACCGAGTACCCCACGAGCGTCTTCTTCTAAAACTGAACCACTACGGAGTCAGAGATGAACTACTCTCATGAATTCGGGATTTCCTCCAAGGGCGAACCCAGCAGGTCCTACTTGAGGGGAAGAAGAGCAACACCACTAACGTCACATCGGGTGTACCCCAGGGCACTGTCCTGGGTCCCCTTTTGTTCTTGATTTTCATCAATGACCTCCCCGATTGTGTCTCCTCATCCATTCGACTCTATGCTGATGATGCCCTCCTCTACAGAACAATCAATTCCCATGATGACATTGAGTCCCTACACAGAGATCTCGCAAATGTTCAGGAATGGGAGAGGAAATGGCTCATGTCCTTTAATGTTGACAAATGTGAGGTGCTGAGGATTTCAAACAAGAGAAAACCCATCATCGGAGCATCTCCTTATTCCATCCATGGGACGACCCTCCGCACTCTTGACAAAGCAAAGTACCTTGGAGTCATCCTCCAACGAAATCTCAACTGGAAACACCATGTCCACTCCATCTGCAAGAAAAGTAACAGCACACTTGGCTTCCTTCAACGCAACCTGAAGAAATGCCCTGTCAGCATAAAGGAGCGAGCATACAAGATCTATGTCCGCCCAATTGTTGAGTACTCTTCTTCTGTCTGGGACCCCCATACCAAAGAGCTCATCTCTAAAATTGAAATGGTCCGACGTGCGGCCAGATTTGTGAAGGCTGATAACAACCAACAGAGCAGTGTCACAGCAATGCTGAAAGATCTACAGTGGCAGTCTCTCCAAGAACGTCGAGCTCACAGCAAGGTTATCATGCTGTATAAAATCGTCCATGGAGTAATTGCCATTCCAGCTGCGCCGCCTTTCCTGAACCCTTCTTCCGACCGAACCAGAGGACATCACCTAAAATTCAAACAACAACACTGTAGAATCCTTTCCTACCAGTACAGCTTCTTCCCCAGCACTATTTGCTTGTGGAATGTCCTGCCTGCAACAGTGGTTTCAGCTCCGTCTATTGAGTCTTCCCGTAGCCGTCTTGCACCACTCACCCTCAATTAGCTCTCCAGTTGAGATGCATCTTTTTACTTGCACTGTCGTTACTGCACTCAATGTCATGTGTTCTTGGGATTGCAGCCACAGCAATCAAAGTACGACTTTACTCTACGAAGAGGAATGTACTCATTGGAAGAAAAGTAGTAGATCTAGACTAAATATGTATTTAGATCTATTATTTTTTATTTTGGGCTTTTGAAATTCAAGCTTTTTTTTTTTTTTTTTTTGTTTCTGCATCAAATTTTCAGGAATCAGGAAACATGCAGCAAAAAAGGTGAATTTAAGTATGGATTTAAAAGCTTGAAAGAATCCTCAAACCTCCCAATTCGGCACTTAACAGTAGTACAAAGACTATAACTTCCGAAATTGCAAGACTGTCGAATTCGAAGTTTGTCAAAAATCAATTCTCATTCATCTCACCACAACAACAGAATCGAAGGCAAACCCGGACTTTAGTGCCCAGCTGAAAATCTCAGTTTATTATGGATTTAATATCAATAATATTAATTATGCTAATATATGCAAATATAAACATACCAAAACTTGATGATTTTTAATCATTTGACGTCATAAAAAGCAATTTTAAGCCAAAAATAGCAGCGAAGTAGGGGATCTCCTCTTTGCTTGATGCGAGATACTAGCGAACTGAAATAACCGAATAAAAACTATGGTGAACTAAAAAAGAAAAGAAAAAATCAAACCACCTCTGAAATTACCTTTGAAATGTTTATTAATTTTTTCTTCCGATATGCGCACATGATAGGGGCAGGTTGGGATGGGATGGGGGGGGGGGGGTGCTCAATAGTCGCCAAATTTGGGGTAAAAGGGCAACTGGCCTTGGGGGGGGGGCTAAATTTATTATTTACTTATTTTTCTTTGTAATCATTTTTCTAATTTTTTTCCGGGGTGGCTCTTTTCTTTATTCTGCTTCTTCTTTCTTTCTCACCAGATATGCACGAAACATTGGGGGTTTGAAGAGATGACACCCCCCCCCCCTTCCTGATGGGGGCGCCAAATTTAAGGGTTATTTTAATCTTTCTTTCTTTTTCTCTGCCCCCCCCCCGTCCCTTTCTCTCCCTTTCTCTTTAATAGGCATGCACGCATCGAGGGGGCGAGTGGGATGGGATGGGGGTGCTGAAAACTCGCCAAATTTGGGGTAAAAGGGCAACTGGCCTGGGGGGGGGGGGGGGGGGGCTAAATTTATTATTTACTTTTATTTCTTTGTCATCATTTTTCTAACTTTTTTTCCGACTCCCACCCGCCCCTCGATGCGTGCATGTCTATTCAAGAGAAAGCGAGAAAAGGGGGGCGGCAGAGAAAAGAAAGAAAGAAAGATTAATAAAAAAAATAACCCTTGAATTTGGCGCCCCCATCAGGAAAGGGGGTTGTCATTTCGTCAAGCCCCCAATATTTCGTGCAAATCTGGTGAGAAAGAAAGAAGAAGCAGAATGAAGAAAAGAGCCCCCGGAAAAAAAAATAGAAAAATGATTACAAAGAAATAAAAGTAAATAATAAATTTAGCCCCCCCCCCCCCAGGCCAGTTGCCCTTTTACCCCAAATTTGGCGAGTTTTCAGCACCCCCATCCCATCCCACTCGCCCCCTCGATGCGTGCATGCCTATTAAAGAGAAAGGGAGAAAGGGACGGGGGGGGGGCAGAGAAAAAGAAAGAAAGATTAAAATAACCCTTAAATTTGGCGCCCCCATCAGGAAGGGGGGGGTGTCATCTCTTCAAACCCCCAATGTTTCGTGCATATCTGGTGAGAAAGAAAGAAGAAGCAGAATAAAGAAAAGAGCCACCCCGGAAAAAAATTAGAAAAATGATTACAGGCTTAGACCTATAACATCGTGTTTTAAAGTAAAGTAAGTAAAGTAAAAATAAGTAAATAATAAATTTAGCCCCCCCCCCCCAAGGCCAGTTGCCCTTTTACCCCAAATTTGGCGACTATTGAGCACCCCCCCCCCCCCATCCCATCCCAACCTGCCCCTATCATGTGCGCATATCGGAAGAAAAAATTAATAAACATTTCAAAGGTAATTTCAGAGGTGGTTTGATTTTTTCTTTTCTTTTTTTAGTTCACCATAGTTTTTATTCGGTTATTTCAGTTCGCTAGTATCTCGCATCAAGCAAAGAGGAGATCCCCTACTTCGCTGCTATTTTTGGCTTAAAATTGCTTTTTATGACGTCAAATGATTAAAAATCATCAAGTTTTGGTATGTTTATATTTGCATATATTAGCATAATTAATATTATTGATATTAAATCCATAATAAACTGAGATTTTCAGCTGGGCACTAAAGTCCGGGTTTGCCGAATCGAATACGCGGGACCACACAATCTCGAAAATAAAAAATCGTCAGCATAAAATACTTCAGTTTTTACATACGACATATCAAAAGGTAATATATCTACCAAAAATCATATCAATTAACAGCATGACATAAAATATACTAAACTCACTTCTCGTTATCTTCGTCGTCGGCCATCGTTCTGGAATTATTCGCCTGCAAAAGTAAGCGTGGTCTCCTCGTTCAAAGATGCAAGATATGAAACTGACAAGATAATTCGGATACCAAAATATAGGTCAATATATCTTGCACATAAGCGCGAGCTCAGTATCAGGTGCTGATTCTTCATCCGTGAAATTAGCTTTTATACAAACGAAAAGAAAAAAGGAGAATGATTAATTAAAAACCAGGATAGAAACAATGAAATGGAAGTAACGCTGAACCTTAGAATATTCAGATTTGATAGGAACAAGGCCACGGAATGTTTTCTTTTTTTTCTTCCAAAGTGGGGGCATATGACACCGCTGAGACTATTCGATCGTGCATGGCTACACCCCCCCCCCCCCCCCCTCCAATGAGAGCCTCAAAGTAGAAATGACTTTAAAAACTCCTCCGACCAGACATATTTTCTGTCCAATAAGAAGGGTAGGCCTACTTTGTTGGAACTGAAAGGCAACCTATAAGATCTGGTTTGAAAATATACCATATGGATAAAAAAAAAAAAAAAAAAAAAAAAAATTTAGATCTAGACCACTCCTTACATATTGAATGTAATAATCGGAACTGTTTTCAAATTGGTTAATGTAAAGTGGATTTTCATGTGAGTTGTGGTCGATTGGATAAATCTAAGACTGTATACCATAAGGTACGGGGTTCGCCCCCTGTCGCAGCACAACAAGACCCCCCCCCCCCCCGCCCCAACTGCGGGGTCTAGGGACCGCATTCGTGTTCCCCAAATCTCCGGTAAAGGGGAAACTTTTCGCGCGACAAAGTCCGGCCCGGGAATTGTAAACAAAATGGGGTGTATATTATCTCTCTCTCTCTCTCTCTCTCTCTCTCTCTCTCTCACTTTGGACTCCTGAGAAATTTCAAAAAGATAGTTTAGTGGCGTTCATTCAGTATTGAATATATACGCCATATCTTCAGTTTTATAAGAAAATCAGTTATCCATAAGAAAACTGAGAATAACGATGTGTAATTACATAATTAATTAGTCAGTAACGCAATTTATTAGGAGTCTCTGGATGGTTTGCAACTCCGTGTTTCTGCTTTTTTTAAAAGTTTAATCTGGTCAGTCCGGTTTCGATTGCATGGAAAACTAGCTTTGCCCGATTTGAAACAGGCTTCTCGGCTACTCGGCGTGCGTGCGCAGTGATCTAGATTATTAGGGGGTACAGTGTTCCGGATTTATAGGGGGTCTCCAAGGCAGGAAAAGCCCACCCAAGGCCCGCGAAAAGGGGGGGGGGTCGGTTCAGAAATGTTGACAGTCCTGATATAGGGGGGGGGGGGGTGCTTTCAAAGGGAGGTAACAAGCATAAGCGTACCCTAAATGCCAATGAGGGGGGGGGGGGGCTAGGCATTAATCTCCCACCCAGGCGGGGCAAATGCATGGCATAATGATATACACTGCAGGAACTAAATTGAATTGATTGAAATACTCGTGCGCTGCAATGGCAGCCGTGCTAAAGCCGGAGTAATATGATATTGGAGCGCCAGACTGGCAATTTGCGAGCAAGCATGGGCGGCAAAAAGTACCATGCATCGGACTCCGATAGCACTAACAATAATACGTATTAGTATTGAAGGTGTTTTCCTATCTTCTTTTCTCTCACTTGAAACCCGTTTATATTATTACGTCCAAAGTTTATGGAAATGTGTTAATGACATTCGTCATCCTCATATAAAGGGGCGTAACTCAGAGATATCTTTAATGCAAACATTAAACCCCGGCATTGAAGTCCTGCCCCGCCCCCCCCCCCCCTCCCCACTCCGGAGTCGGAATGACCGCATGCGTGTTACCAAAATGTGCGGTAAAGGGGTACTTTTCGTGCGACAAAGTCCGGCCCGAGAATTGTAAAAAAAAAAAGGGGTGTATTTGACTTTTCACCCGGAGATTTCTTTAAAAAGGGGGTGTTTTTTCTTTATTTCTCTAATCTCTTTTGACTTCTGAGAAATTATTCCGAATTTAGGGGGGTTCGTAGAGCATTTTCTGGGTCTCCAAGGCAGGAAAAGCCCGCAAAAAGCCCGCGAAAGGGGGGTTCAGAAATGTTGGCAGTCCTCAGATAGGGGGTGCTTTCAAAAAGAGGGAACAAGCATACGCGTACGCTAAATAACACTGAGTGGGGGGGGGGGCGGGAGTCCTGCAACAAGATTTTATTTTGATCTTTATAGGGCTTGTCAGCCCAAAATGTTTTTAAATACCTCAATATATACTACCCTTAACACATTACGATAGCGATATTTTCGGAGGTGAAAATGATGATGTCGGGGGTACCTGCTTTTGCGGTTTTTATACTCAGGGGCTGACGAGCGATTTTAATATTTTTAATATGTTTCACTTTATACACGACACAAGATCATGCTTTGCAGTAGGGTGTGATGGTCTGAAAAATTTGTGAGATCGCAGTGCGAAAAATTACATCTTATAAAGAGGAAAAAACCCAATCCTGATGGGGTTATAAGCACATTCTCTCTCGGTCTCACACTATTTCATACAAACAATACGGTCAACGTACGTTCTTTCGTTTATGCAGTTGCTTTTCTTTGGAACAATCTTATTCAAATTCGCAATGCTAGCTCTGTAAATTCATTTAAAACAATGCTAAAAACACATCTCTCTAAGTCTTGTTCCTGAATAGCTCTTTTGAACCTTTTGCCTTTTAATATATTTTGTGTAGATTACCGTAGGATACTATTAATTTATGAACTATTTGTATTTTGGTTGTAAGTGATTTGTAATAAATATGTACATGTATTATTTTCATTTGCAAAGTTTTAATGGTAATTTAAATTGATATAATTTGTAATGCAAATTCTGTTTCCTTTACTTATCAGCTATTTTCTTCTAATCCGCTTAGAGGCAATTTGCAATTTGCGGTATACAAATATCTTATTATTATTATTATAACGGAAGGACCTTTGATAAGTAACATAAATATATCATCTATAGATGCGTTGGAGCGTAGCGAGCGAGCTTTGAGAGAAATTGCTCTTAGTCGCTTGAAATTTGAGGCGCGTTTAATGATGAGAGGAAAAGGGGACCTTATCAGAAAAGAAAAGGAGCATGTGTCAAAGTACAAAGATTAATTATCAGAGGTGAAAATGGGGCACTTCTTACACCCTCAAAAAGAGGCACTCACCAGGGGTGAAATAAAGTCAGTCATGAGAATAAGAAATGGGCATTAGTCGACGGAAAAGGGGCCCCCATCAGATTTTGATAGGGGCATTTATAGGAGGTGAAAAGGGGCATTTATGAAAAGGGGATAGGACCCTTATTAGAAAGGAAAATGGGCACGTATCATTTTTAAAAGGGAAAGTATCAGAAGTGTAAAAAGGCACTTATCGCATCTGAAAAGGGGCAATGACCAAATATGAAAAGGGGTACTTATCATTAGGAAAATGGGCACTTATTAGAAAGGAAAAGGGGCATTAGTTAAAGCGGGGGGGGGGGGGTATCGATCAGATTTTAAAGGGGCATTTATCAGAGGTTAAGGGGGGAACTTATCAGAAGTGAAAAGGAGTAACTCCTCGTACATGAAAAGGGTCATTTACCAGAGAAGGGGCACTTATGGGAGGGGAAGGGGCTCAGTTTTGAATGGGGCACTTATCATTAGGAAAAGGGACACTTATTAGAAAGGAAAGGGGCACTTGTGAAAATGTAAGGTGCGCCTATCCGAGTTAGAATGGGGTAGTTATTAAAAGGGGAAGGGGCACTTATTACAAAGGAAAAGGGGCACTTGTCAAAATAAAAGAGGTACCTCTTAGATTTGAAAAGGGGCAGAGTTACTTTTAAAAATTAATACGGGCACTTGTCAAAGTAAAACGGGCACTTCTTACAAAGTTAAAGGGATACTTTTCGGCTGCTTGAAAAAGCGGGAGGGGCACTGTGCCCCTGCCCCCGGGAGGGCCGCCTCTGCAGTTATACTACATGTATAGGGATAATTAAATTCTTGCTATACACGGATAAAACGCCCGTAATGAAGGCGATGCTATTATGAGATTTTAAAATTTTAATTACATTCTACAACATCTTTTATAATGCCCTGTTTTTTGTTTGGTTCATGCATGGTGGAAAACTGACAGTATTGTCAGGATATTTTAAAGTCCCACTGCACTACTTATAGCTACTTGCGCCCTCTATATAACAAACATTGCATGCATAATCGGTGACCATTGGTCCCCCATGATCCTATTCTTCTTGTTAATTGAGAGCTGGGGTGGTATTCTGAACATTGTTGTAAGTTTTGTGTTATCTTTTGTTGTATCTCACAGAGATAACACAGCGCTAATATTGTTGTAAGTTGGTATTCTGAACATCATTTTATCCCTGTGTTATCTCTTGAAGGACCGCCTCTATCTTATCTTTGACCACTGATGACACGCCTATTTGTATGGACCCTACCAATCAAAATCTGTTTTATATAAGCATGATAAGTAGGTCAACCAATAGGAATACTTTATGCCATATCTGAAGATGACAATGACAATGACAATGACAATGACAATGACAATTTATTCTCATGTCACCCACATTGGGGTATTGGAGAAGTTGGTATTGGTATTGGTATTGGTATTGGTATTGGTATTGGTATTGGTATTGGTGTTGGTATTGGTATTGGTATTGCACCTAGCGCATACTAATCTTGGGCGTAATTAGTTATTTGAGCGCTTATTACGCGCGTCATCATTATGCGCTGTTGAATGTGGATCATGAAGACAAATCACGCTTTCACTATAATTGGTTAAGATGAGAGCATTAAAATCGTCATCCTAGCATGTAATTTCTAAGAAAGTTCTCATCTGTGATGTTTCCGGTCAACACAAAATCTTCTTCTAACTCGTCTATTGACACGAAGTTGGTTCTGGGCAAGAAATATTGCCGCCATTATGTCACCACGAAAGATACAACAACCCCTACCTGTTGTAAATATTGTTGTAAATACCATGCAAGATAAGATAAGATAAAAGATACAACAACTTTCAGAATACCAATTATCTCGACATATTATCTCTCGTGCGCATATGCAAATGAGGAATAAACACCATTTTATTAATAATACGCACAATTACAAGCGCACCAAACATGAGCGCAGGCGCGGCCAATGAGATGAGAGAAAAGATACAACAAAAGATAACACAAAAGTTACAACAATTAAATGTTCAGAATACTAACTTTATCTTATCTCCAAAGATACAACAATATTAGAGATAACACAGGGTTCAGAATACCGCCCCTGATTTTATGAGATAACCACCCCGGCCCCACCCCCCCCCCCCCACTCAGTGTTATTTAGGGTACGCATATATGCTTGTCCAACCGACCCCCCCCCCCCCTTTTCAGCAAAAGTCCGGTGTGTAAAGTCAGTACGGCTCGACCTTTTTCTTTTGTATACGAGCCTTTTTCAGCCCCCCCCCCTTTTTTCAGCAAAAGTCCGGTGTGTAATTTTTGGCAACACGCATGGGGTCCGTCCGTTCTCGGAGTGGGGGAGGGGGGGGGGCGGGATAACCACCTGTCCAGTGACCTTGCAGGACGGTCTCATCCCTCCTGTACACTAGTACAGATGGGCTGTAAGTATTATAAGGAGCACTTATTAATCGCAGAAAGGGGCACTCCATAACCTGCTTTTGGAAGAAGTGCACGGGGGGCCCGGGGGTGCATTCCTCTGGGTCACCATCGCTCGGTCTCGCGGACCTTCTCATACCTTTTACGAGGTTACCGACATTGTCGGTCACGGGCTGTCGATATTTCCTCGGGATAAAAGTATAGCCGTCCCTTTCTCGTTTTTTATGGTGCGCTGCATAATATTATTGTGTAGCTTCAATCATAAATTCATAACATTATTAATATTTTCGTATTACTAATAGATACATTCTATACAGATAACCTGCCCCACCTATGTTATAAACGTTTCTTTGTTTTTCCATTGATAAATGTGTCTCAGTTCATCTTATCAAAATAGTGATGACTGATGACGATGTATTAATGATTGCTTGAGTGCTATATAAGGCAATAAATCTTGTGGGTAAGCAATTAGGAGCCTTGGCTGTAAGTAAGTCACTAACGGGGCCATGACTTGAAAATTAAGGGTTATTGCCTGATGGAACTCGGTTTGGGGTTTTGAACCCAGAACCAGCAATCATTTAAGTGAAGGATCCATAATCCCTCGATTTATTCCCTATACTTTCCCTCCCTCTTTCGATTTTTTTTTTACGGGGCGGGGGCCAGGGCGGGGGCATCCCTGGTAGGCCTACCCCCTCGACACTGATCTCACTGCGCCTTCACTCTTTCAGTGAATGCTGAAATTCACCACCTTATTTTTGTGCTTGTTAAAGCAGTCAGGTTAAACTGTATAATTTTTGCAGGACGGACAAGACCCCCAACCAGGCGCGTACACAGGGGGGGGGGGGGGGGGGGGGGGGGGGGGGGGTTAACCCCCCCTTTTGGTAATTTTTTGTATGTAAACCCCCCCCCCCCTAAATTCCTCTAAAACCCCCCCCCCCCCCTTTTGGATTTTTTTTTTTTTTTTTTTTTTTTTTTTTTTAATTAAATTTTTTTTTTTTTTAAATAAAAAAAAATTCCCATGGTTGACCTAAAAAAGCTGACCTTACCCCCCCCCCCAACGGAGCAAAATGTCAAATTTTCAAATTTCGAGACCAAAAAAAAAAAAAAATGTGTCCTCTTACCCCCCCCCCCCCCCCCCCCCCCCCCCCCCCCCGCTTATTCAGCGGTCGGCTGAGTCGTTGCGAAATTTTCGGCCCGATTTATAAATGTTAAACCCCCCCCCCCCCCCCCCCCCCCCTTGAAAAAATCCTGCGTACGCGCCTGCCCCCAACGAAAATATATATTTACTGTACACCTTCCAACCATTGTGCATGCTAAGGTGCATGACCGGGACTTATAACTCAAGGATTGAAATCGGGGGGGGGGGCTAAAATATTGGGGAATATACGAAAAATGCAGTAGTTTAGAGGGGCTCAGAAGATTGCAGGCTTAATAACCCAGCAAAGAAGGCACCCGCTTAATTCTCATTATGATTTCTGTATTGGTAGATTTGTTTAAAGAGGGGGCATCAGGCCATTATTATTTCTAGGCTAGCTGGAGGATTCTTTTTGTTACTAAAATAAATCTGATAGCTCATTAATTTGCAATGCTTACTTATATGACAAAATCTTGGCAAATAATTTGGCATATAATTTTTGTTCCCTAATCCTTTATAATTTTATGCAAAATTATTAATGACCTCTTGTCGCGCCATAAGAGACGTCTCAAAAAGGTATCCGATATAAATTTGGAGAGGTCAACAACATTTTCAATGTGATTCGATTCGCAGCTGTACGTTGGGAGAACAATTCACGCATAATGCGAAGTAAAAGCGACCGAAAAAGTACAAACAACGGATAGTTGGACCTTAAAATTCAACTTTTTGAACGTAAACCCTGAATTGGGAGCTGAAAAGGTACGAATTTAAACTTGAATGTGTGAGAATGATGAGAATTCTATTATGTTTTGTGTCGTGTGTGGGCGTTTTCCTTGTGCTCGTATGGTTATGGGGATGGGTAAGGCCAGCGCACGCTGTTACAATATGCCGCTGGTCTAGCGGCCTGCGGCATGCACCAGTGGAGGCTTACTGACTGTCTGTGGCGTAGTTCTGTATGCATTCCGATTTATTGCGTGTGGCTGTCAGTGAGACTAGATTGTTATGGTTTGGGATCCGAGGCTGTCGCGTTCTTTTCCTTCATCTCCACATCTTATTACTCTACCTATTCACCCTTTCCTAAAAAAGTTTCTAACTCTTTGAGTGAGTCTGTCTTATTTCATCTCCTTTTCTTTTGCTGATGCAAGCATGATCCTTCATTCAGTTCAATCAGAGTTTGAGACTTCTTCAGTTCAGTCACTTTTTCAGATATCACTTTTTTTTGTTAAAATTGTCTTCAGAATATTTGTGTTACTGTCGGGCCTACTGCTGAATATTCGTTGTGAAAGCTGTTGATGTCAGCTTTTGAAGGTAATTTTTCTAAAGGGGATTTAAAGGCATGTTCGAACAAAGGTTTAAAACACATAATTGTGAGCGGAATTTGTATTGCCTACTTTCAGGAACATTTTCCACAAAATATGACCCCTTTGTGTGAAAAAAGACCTGTATAAAATGGGCTTTTATAAGAAAGCCTTAATTTTAGATTGAGTACCGGTACACATTCACAAAAGCACCCTGTTTTGGAAAGAAAAGAAAAAAACAGCTAAATACACATCCACCTGCATTTTTGAAAATATGGCCCTTTTTCTTGAAATTTTCATGCTCTTTCTAAAAATAAAAAACTCTTTTTTTCCCCCCTCCAAAGAGTCCAAGTCTGAAGCGATCCCATCGGAACCAAAGACATCACAAAAACACATTTGATTCCAAAGGGATTAATCATGATCCCTCATACACATTGAAGATAATGCTATCCCAAATACTAATTTATTCTTTATTACTTGGGCTAAACACTTTCTTTATAAATTGCTAGATTAAGATTCTTAAACATGTACATTCTAACTACATTGTATATCCAGTGTTAAATATATGCCAACACAACTGATGTATCCATTCTTTTTTTAATGCTAAATAATGTTTTACTGCTTACACTCTAAACATACACTGTACAGTATAGTGTTAACTCTATTCCAGGTTCAAATTCAGATTATTTCTACTTTGGTGCAAAACACTACATTATTCCAAACACAGCTTCCGTACCTTATCTCTGGTGCTAAACACACTTTATTAGTTACTAAGATTCTGATTAACACATATGTTTGGTTTTAATTGTATTCCATACACAGATCCCACACTAAATCTTCCGGTGCTTAACACCTACACCAGCACCATGTTGGGCGGGATCCCCCAGGTGGCCCAGTTGTACAGCCAGTCGCCGGAGATGAACTATTTCGACTCCGGCAAGGACGAGGCCGCGTTTGTCCGGTCCAGACCACCCCTACCCAGCGAACTGGCCCAAAGCTACAGGCCTCCTACCCCTTGGCCCGTCAGCCCGACCTGCCAGAAGGACTTTGTTCTGGTCTGTGAATTCTCGGAGCTAGAGGGACCAAAGCCACTGGTAAGTTCTTGCACAATACATTCAAATGTGTGTGTAATTGGGCTTTTACAGACGTGTATCAATCATATACATGTATATGATTATTTACGTCTGGACACTAACATTTAAAGCCCCACTGCACTACTTATAGCTCCTTGCGCCCTCTATATAGCAAACAAAGCCTAATCGGTGACCATTGGTTCCCCATGGTCCCCTTTTTCTTATGTTTAATAATTGAGAGCTGATTTGATGAGATTACCACCTGTCAGGGACTACCTGTATGCAGGGAGGTCTAATCCCTCCTGGCCAAACAAGTGCAGACATGAGGTAGTTTCGAACCGAGTTCCGGCTGAGTCAGTTTGTAGGCGGAGACGTTGCACTGACCAAGTGAACGTAATGCTAGGCCAACTAACATCTTTCTCAAGCATTTGCTGTCCTATTAAAGATAAAGACCAGTTATGGTCATGCGATTGCATTGTGAAAGAAACGTTGTGGAATCGATCAGAAAAGGTTGATCATCTAGCATATAAGTATTGGTGTGTACAGCAAGGTTCTGGAATCATCAAAATGATAAGAAATTTGGCCAAGTCTTTGTAAAGTTACAAGCACTGTACACAGAAATATGTATATGGGGCTACAAAAACAATCCCCAATTTTGTAGTTTTACGACATATTTATAAAGGGATTTAAGTATCAATACCGGTAAACCAAAGTTTCACATCTTTACGACAGGCATTCGCTTCAAGCAAATAAAGAGATAAAGTGCCTTGTACTTCCATATAACAAGGAAGTACAATTCAATTTCTACCGATTTTTATACTCTATGGAATGACAGTACTGGTATTTACATGTACATGTTATATAGCAGATATGTAAATAGTAAGCCTGGTATTGTTTTGATTTCAAAGTCCTTGGTACCATGTGGGTCAAGGTGTGATCTAGATTTAGTCACCCTGCATTCAGACAACTGAAATTCCTTGTACAGCTATATGAGAATTATAAGATAAATAATAAAACATTTGTAGTCTGAATTAACTTAGTCTGAATGACCCCATAGTATGATGAAGTATCTGTTTGTGCATCGTATCGAACAAAAACTCAATAGAGAATCAGCTCCAGTCTGAACGTCGCATCATTCAGACTAGGATCGTAGGAACGTTGCGGGGCTTTGCTTGATTGCACATTCGTCGTTGGCCGGCTGTCATGTTTACTGACCCCGTCAAAAACAGTTTCCTACATGTGCATGTATACATCGTTATTTTTGCACGATGTTGTTATTTATTCCTTTCGCTGTACATGTACGTTGATTCTTTAAAACGTTCTTATAACTTTTTTTAATGCTTTTATACATTTTCTATGTTTTTATAACTTGTTATTGTTTATATAACTTTTTAATGTTTCTGTATACAGCTTTTGTATACTGTGAATGTATATTCTGAACAGGCAGTCTATCTAAAGGATTGCTTTAAAAATTTAAACGAAGAAAATCTCTTAAAATGATAGCACAAGATTGATTCAGAGGCATTTATCCAACATGAGATCCCATCAGTAAACAAATTAATGAGTTTGAGGTAACGACAAGCATGATACGAATTAGAAATATATGTTTGTACACCTTTTACAACCGCTGTACATATGAAGTTGTCATACCTCAGTATGTATTGTAGCTGTTCTGCTTGTGTATGTAAGTACTGTACGTGTATATACAGTACATTTACATGTACATGTACTGTATAGAGTCCAATTGTAATATAATTCGTTAAGCATGATGAATAATTGAGAAAGAGTCCCATTAATTTGTAATTAGTCATGAATAACATATCACCACCAGGTTAATGGGTAGTTAAGAGAGAGGAAAAGATCTTATAAGTACTTACGTACGCTAGTCTGCTAGTGTAACCCCTATAATGCAAGATTTGAACAAATATCTGGCTGTATACTGTATTTATACTGTATGTACACTACATTTACATTTACATGTACATGTAGATGCTTTTTTGTATATGTGTGTTCATTGTAAGGAGTCCTAAGAATGTATTCAAAACTTTTATTTTGATTTTGGCTCGATGCAAGTCGCCTTGAATTTATTTCAAGTGTCAAAATAGAATCTGCTTGTGTAAACAGGAATCAAACAGAGCCAGCTTTTCCTTTTGTGCTAAATTGTGAAACTAGCATTATAAAAGAAAATGAAACTTTTCGAAGGAGTAACAGAAAATTAAAGAAAAAATTAATTGGACTTTTGAACTACATTTGTGATCAGAAAAACGATTGAATAATTGATAAGGACGTTATGACTGTTTGTAAGTTGCAATCACTGAATAGATGTCAATCTCAAATGGGTGAATTGGTAATTTGGTTGCGATACACTGCAAACATAAATGTACAGTGTATGTACATGTACATGTGCAGTAGTTAGTGACAAATCTCCCAATTGTTATTCACTCAGATTTCAGTGCTCTTCCAATACCATTTTCAGAGAGCTGTACTCCAAATGTGTCATGAACAGCAAATTGTAATCACACCCCCCCCCCCAACAATGAACAAAAAACAAAAAAGAAAGAAAAACTACTTCTGAATGAGTTCATAAATTTTGACAAGTTATATATTTAAGTCATTTTTCCTTTCCTCTTTTCTATAAGTGGAGCAAACCACTAGTATTATAATCACCTTCTATGGCCCCTTTGATCGTATAAAGAAACCTGTTCCAATTTACTGATTTTTCCTCCTATTTTTTATACCGGTACTCATCATTGCAGATAACGATTCCCAAAGATGGCGGTAGCAGCTTTGACAAGAACATGTATGCCGTCAAGATCATGGCCGTGGACTACAATGCGACCAACTACGCTCGCTCAACGTAAGCATCTGTCATGTTCATTTGTGTAATTTTTATCAGTTTTGATTTAGAATGGGTAGTTTTAGGCCCTTTCACAAATATATACCTCACTTTAGAAATCTAGCCATCTGATTGGTCAAAATTGGAGTCATGATTTTAGCAACGCCTACCGATCCAATAGTCTTTAAAAAAAAAAGCCCTCATGCTCTGATCCCCATTGGTTTACGTGTTAAAATTGTCTTTGTGCGACTGTGGACACCATACAGTGCTTTTTGTCTGTGATTCCCAAATGATTGAAACTTTCAGTCATTTTTCCAGCAAAGATTAATGGACAGTGTCTCAGATTTTCCATGATGTTTTAACCAATCTTCACTCAATAAAAGGATAAGGTAAGAATTCTTGGTAGATTTTTGTTTCAATTTGGCATATAAAAGACATATTGACTGCTTTAACATTCAAGGTCTGGCTGTTTTATGGGCTCAAGGGAAGATGTGCAAATCCTGCCATGACCCCGAGGCGCCCCTGTATCAGGCCTCTCAAAATAGTCAATATCTTTATACCGAATTCCATTCGTACTATGGTTAATGCTTTCATACTATTTTCTTTATATTTTGAATGTAATTATACCAATTTATTTGTAATTTTGATATTGTTATCTGTTATGATATTCAATATTTTATCTTTGTTTATGATATGGTGATGATGGAGATATACGTGTCAATTCCATGTCACTAACTACATGTACGTATGTGCAAATGGGAGTTGTGGTTTTTATCAACGAAGATGCCCAGTAAGTTTTTGATGTTTTGTTTTTATTTCACGGGTTCAAACAACCAATCTACTCTAGGATAAACAATCCAGAATAAATCCTAGCAATTTTTTCTCAAAATACAATTCCCATGCCAGCTGAGCTCAAGATTAGCTTAAATGCAGGTGTGTATTGTGTGAGTTATTAAATGTACATGAAGGGTAAATGTTAATAGGCTTTTTACTGACAGGCTATGTATTGTAATTATGATAGGCTCATAGCCACTCAATCGGTCTGGGGACACCATTAACAATCATAATGATAATCACATGTATATGTGTACATGTAAGGGAAGCTTTTGCAAACAGCAGAATCCTACTTAGGCAAAGTGCCCTATACATATACATGTATGCACCCTTTAATAATTCTCTTGTTTAAGACTGTTATTGTGAAAATGATTTTTGCAAAATTGCAAGGACAACTTTAGCACTTGAGCCCTCCAAAATTTATTTTGAACAAGTTTATGATAATAATGGGTAATACATTTAAGGGGAAACTGTTATTCAGTTTATTAAAAAAAAAAAACTGCACTCTCATGCAACATGTACCTGTACATGTGCATGTATATTTTAACATACATGTAGACTAACCAAACAAATCAGGATTGAATTGACACTCTGAACAGACGATCTACATGTATGTACAACCCTTCAATGTATATCCATACTAAACTGTCCCTCAAAATAATACTTTTTGTGCAGGGGCTCTTTTTACAAAAAAGAAGTAGAAAATAAATCGTCTTACTCTTAAAGAGAGAGGAAATACATGTACAGGGGCTACTTGGGAGGGCTGTAGGGGCTCAATTGCCCCCACCATTCGCCTTACACTCCCCTTACAGTACATGTATATAATAAGCTCTGATTGAAATAATTAAATTTTAGTTTCAGCCCCACTGCAGTACTGCAGTCATATTAAATTTGTCTATTTCCAGGCTTTACATTGTGATGTCAGACTTGATTTGAAATGTGGGTGCTGAAATGGTGGAAAGGAATCATGGTAAAAATGGTCACATGACTAAAATGAGAAATGTTTGATTTTTCAATGCACCTCATGGTGCGGAGGTTGATAGCAACATTATCCCCCTTCCTCATCTCTCTCCCCTTTTCTCTCGTCTCCCCTTTTCTCTCTTCTCCCCTTTTCTCTCTTCTCCCCTTTTCTCTCTTATCCCTTTTCTCTCTTTTCCCCTTTTCTCTCTTTTCCCCTTTTCTCTCTTCTCCCCATTTCTCTCTTCTCCCTTTTCTCTCTTACCCCTTTTCTCTCTTCTCCACTTTTCTCTCTTCTCCCCTTTTCTCTCTTCTCCCCTTTTCTCTCTTCTTCCCTTTTCTCTCTTCTCCCATTTTCTCTCTTCTCCCATTTTCTCTCTTCTCCCATTTTCTCTCTTCTCCCATTTTCTCTCTTCTCCACTTTTCTCTCTTCTCCCCTTTTCTCTCTTCTCCCCTTTTCTCTCTTCTCCCCTTTTCTCTCTCTCCCCTTTTCTCTCTTCTTCCCTTTTCTCTCTTCTCCCCTTTTCTCTCTTCTCCCATTTTCTCTCTTCTCCCATTTTCTCTCTTCTCCACTTTTCTCTTTTCTCCCCTTTCCAGCTCTCTTGTCCCCTTTCCAGCTCTCTGCTCCTCTTTCCTCTCTTCTCCCCTTTTCTCTCTTCACCATAGACACTATTTCAGTTCCAAAATTTATGAGAGACAACACATGTACATTGTACATGTTTATGTGATAGTACAGTGAAACCTGTTTATAAAGACCACCCAAGGGAGACAAGAAAAGTGGTCTTTATAGGCAGGTTGTCTTTATGTACAGGTTCCTTTAGTACATGTTTCAATGAGGAACCATGTTCTAGGGAAACAAAATGTGGTCTTTGTAGACACGTGGTCTTTCTATACAGGTGGTTGCTAAAGCAGGATTAACCGTAGTAGTTCATGGTTTCTTGAAAAATTGATCTGTGGCCAACTGACCAATGCCTGCAAACTAGCAATGCTCTTTGAAAAGAGCTGCATTAATTAAAGATGGCCACCTATTTTCTTCGGTAGGTGTAATGCTCTAAATACACTGACAAGTACATGTAGCTGTATAGAACATATTTGCCCTATATAAGTTATAAACTTCTGAATACTATATAACTTGTGTACCAGAGGAAACATCGCAATGATCGCGTACACATGTTTAACAATACACACGTAAATGTATTACATATATGCATACACATATATTCATTTGTATTTTTTTAAAGGTTTGATATGCCAGTTCAAAATTAATCCGCTTTGGCAGCTATTCAACTCGAGAGTCACAATTACATATCCATTTCAATGATTTCCTTGTTGACTCTCCTAAATCTATTGGATTAAAGTTTAATGGGGAGTTCTGGCAAGGGGTAGAAAATTCATCAATTTATTCACATCATGTTACATCAGCCAGAATTGGGCTACTTTGCAATCCTCTTAAATTTCCCCTTTAGCTGTATTGTTTGTGTCCTTGTACTGTTTGTGATCACAAGCAAGGCAGGAAATAATGAATTTGGTGTTCTGTAGAGGCTATAGCATCAGGGGCGTGCTACAATTTACATCGTTGCAACATTAAGAATTACTTTTGTTTCATTTCATATCTGGATGAGCTAGACATATTCTTTGGCAACAAGATATAGGGTTAAGAGCTAAGCAGGGCTTCACAACTACATGTACTTTTCTTTCCCAGTCTATACTAGCCCTATACATAACAAATTTAAAAATGTTTATACACTTTTATTTATTCATTTTTTAATTATTTTTTAAAATATTTTTTATGGGGGAGGGGGGATTTTGGGCCCTCATGTTTCCCAGGCGCCTGTCTGTCTCGAGCTCTGACCTAGGGTTATGATCTATAGGGTGGAAGTTATGAATTTGGTAACTGTTAGCAATTGGAAATCTGCACCTATTGTCGTGAGAGTGTCAGTTGTAGAAACTCTATTGTCAATATTTTCAACATTGCCAGCAAGGCCCAGCACAGAGTTTGGCAAGAACTCTATACATATGTTTTTGTGTTTATTTAACTCAAGAATAAAAGGTGGGCAGGTTGATTAGGACATGTGATGAAGAATTTTAGATGCAAGCTTTGATATATATGTCACATTCTTAATAAATATAAACAGAGAAAAATCAATATACCACACACTTTAAAAAACAACTAAATTATTAATACCCCTCATAAATGTTATGTTTTTTTTAAAGAAAGCATTTAACTCAAGAATAAAAGGTGGACAGGTTGAATTAGGACATGTGATGAATACTTTTAGATGCAAGCTTTGATATATGACACATTCTTAAACATAAACAGAGACAAATCAATTTTTCACACACTTTAAAAAACTACAAAACATCTGTAAGGGTATTAAAGGGGAAGTCCACCCTGAAATTAAGTTAGTTTTAATAGGAGTAGAAAAATGAGAGAAACAAGTCAGTGAAAGTTTGAGCAAATTCCGATTAAAAATAAGGAAGTTAGGATTTTTGAAGTTGTGATCAATCAAACACAAATTGGCAATTCTATGACGTATCATGCGAGCTCAACTTCCATTTGCTCAGTACTAAAAAAATCTAAAATTTTCATTTTCCCTCAAGAAAAATTTCAACCATACATGCACCCTAAATATAATAATTGCAAATATGTTTCTATACTCCCCCTGCAAGAAACAAATATATATTCCGTCATCAATAACGAAGAAAACATGATTTTATGGAATATTATGCACAAAGCAAATGAAGGAGAGCTTGTATAATAAGTCACAGAGTTGCCAATTTGTATTTGATTGATCACAACTTCAATAATTCATAACTTTCTTATTTTCATTCAGAATTTGCTCAAACTTTCACTCACCTGATTTTCTTATTATTCTGCCTCTATCGAAACAAACTTATTTTGGGGGTTGACTTTCCCTTTAATAATTTAGCTGTTAAATGTATGCATAGAGCAAGTTAGTTTTGTTGCAATCAGCTGTGCAGCTACAACTACCCGAAACAGCTCCTAATGTTTCTTTGTCTTCTTTTTGTGTGTTTTACAGGAACACCTTCAAGCTTTCAGAAGACACTTCAGTGGTGCTCGAAGACAAGAAAGATGGTAGCTATTCATATGTAAGACATTTCTTGAAAGTGCTAAACAAAATTCTGTGGCTTAATTTTTTTTTAATGGTAGATAAAATATGCAGAAACCTGATAAATTGACTATAAACAGACGCATGTGTTTGGAGGACATTTGACTTGCAATGTTGAAATTTTGCAGCCAGCATTTAATGATTTGGCCCAAAACTAAGGTGCCAGGCCCCAAAAGTAGATTTAATAAAATTAATAAAAAATAAATGGTTGAAACATTTTACACATAGTGAAGAAAAGTGAAAACTCTTGAGAGAAATTCATCAGATGCCTCCATTTTGTGGAATTATGATATGACTCCAGTACAGTATGTACAAACAGGACATTGCCAAGGTTCTTTCAATATTTCATGTGAGTGGACCCGCTATTGTTTGATCAAACCATAATTAGGGTCAAAATCCAAGAGATTATCTTGGAAGTTTGCTCTGTAGTCTGTACTTCCTTTCACGTCATGCTTAAAGAGAAGGCTGATGTCTGCATGGTAAAGGGGAGAAGAAAAATATTGTGAGCTCTTTCTCATTCTTTCATGTCGGTTTGGGAGAATATTTCATAGTGATAATGTCCCTTGAAAACGAGTGTTTCCCGAATGCCCTCATATTAAAAATATAATACCCCCCCCCCCCAAAAACAAAAAACAAAAAATTATTAAAGTGTTAAGACCAAATCTTCATGTAATGTGTGTGTGAAGTACGTCTCATACACCCATAATTTCTATGTACAAAGCATGTGTTTAGCCATGAGATTGAGTCAGTTTTTAAAAATCCTTTTGATGATTTCAAGACCTTATGGAAGAGATGGGTCTTTATTTACTAAAAATAATCAATCCGCTTTCCCAACAGACCGGTTTACTAACGTATACAAATTTATGGATGTTTCTTTCCTGGGGGGTGTTTCACAAAGATCCTAAGTAGAACTTAACTCTAAGTTGAACTTAAAAATTATAGACAGCCTTTGGAGTCTTAAAATGAAATATATTCAAAAGCAGAAATTCAAGTATTTTAGACTTTTTATAAATTCCACATCCAGAACATGAAATCTCCTTGATGATAGAAAATATGAATGATTTGAATAAACAATTAATGCCTTTCAAAATAACTTTTACAAAATATTTTTCAAAGATGCTAATGGCTTTCCATAATTTCTAAGTCCAACTTAGAGATACATGTAAGTTCAACTTAGGATCTTTGTGAAACACCCCCCAGGTAACCTAGTTACGAGTTATACTCTGCTAACCTGTTAGCAATGAATGAACTGCTGTACTTGGAATCCAGTCTGCATACATTATTTGTTGCTATGTTGGGCATCCTCAGACAAGCTTTCAGGTTGTCAAGAACGACCTTTGTTTAAAAAGTATGCTTAAAATTTGAATATGTTCGTAAACCAGTCTCTTGCTTAGAAACTTTTTCTTTTGCGATATAATTGCACGACAAGAACCTGACCTTATCTCTCAACTAGTAAAATCGTGAATGTTTCGAGACTCGTACATGTACGTGTGCTCCCTCAAGTATTGTTTCCTAATTAAAATCCAAAGTACACAGTGGCACAGAGCCAGAAAAGAATGTGCACACATACTCTTCCCTATTGTCTCCCGATTTGTTTTGGGAAGTAGTAACATGTCGGTGATGATCATGTGTTTAATTGCCGGCAGCAAGATCATGTCACCATGGTAACGAGATTACGGCATGAATTAATGATAAGATATCCTGCAGTCTAATGTCTAATATTGCCTCATGGGTTTGTGGTAAGGGTTCGTTATTTGAGCCGGTAATGGAATATATTTCCATTTGTACAGAAACCCTGTACATGTAGCATTGCTGTGACCTGGCAATATTAAAGAGAAAGACGAGTACCGGGAATGGTGAAAATAGTTTGTGAGCTTTTTTTATTCTTTTTATGTTAGTGTAAAAGAGTTTCTTTAAAGGCCGGCTGTACTAGTTTGGCCAGAAGGGATTAGACCACACAGCGTGGTCACTGACAAGTGGTTATACATGTATCTCATCAACTCAGCTCTCAATTAACATAAGAAAGAGAGGATCATGGGGGACCAACAGGCACCGAATGGGGAGTTTTCTATATAGAGGGAGCAGGTAGCTACATATACACGTAGTACAGTGGGGCTTTAAAAAGGTGTCCCCTGAAAAGGACGGCTCTTCAAATGCCCTCATATTTGAAATATGACAAGTAACAGCCAACGGTTGTGGACCATTCTGTTGTGCTAGATGTTTGTGTAGTCCCATGTACACATTTCTGTGTACCATGCCCTTGACTTTTAGCAAGGCTGCAAATTTTGATTTTTTTTTTTTTTATGATTCCACAAGTCTGTTGTCAGCAAATTGTGACCTTCTACACGTGGAAACTAACGACCATCTCCCTTTAAATCTCTTTGCATTCATAAAGATCACAAGTCCTTTTCAGGTCTCCTCTCACATAAGAATACCTTGGTCAATTACTCTACCTCTATCCATAAAACACGTACTCCTCTATAGGACGAAACCAAAAGCTTTCTCACTTTCTATCTATCCCCTTCCAACTCAACCGTCCTTTTGAAGACTATTGACACAGTGAAACCACAAACTTATGAATTTATACACACCGACATCCCAACTAGAATTTGTAACAATATTAACGTAGTGACAATGCCGGTTTTCTTTAAATTCCAAGCACACTAATAAATTAATGAGGATATAACATGCATTTATTTTTTATTCTTTACTCTTCTTACGTATACACAGATCCACCATTTTACCCTGTATGATATCCATGCCAGGGGCTTCGTCAGACCTTTTTGTATGGCCTACATCACTCCCGATAAGAAGTGAGTATTACAGTAATAATGAAATCTGGTGTTACATTTGAAGTCACTTTGTGCATGAATCATAAATATGATAAATCTGTTGGGAGGCGAGAAGAAAAGTGGTTACAAATACCTGGGCCATGTTACATAAAACTTGTTTTTAATAACAAATGCTAAAATCCTGTGACAAATTGGGTCTCAGCCAATCAGATGCCACGGTTTCAGTAGCTTATAACAGTTATTGTAACTTGCTATTGAAAAAAAGTTTTGTGAAACCAGATACAAGATATAAAATGAGATAGATAACATTGATTTTCATGTAATGTAGAATAAGTATGTGTTAAGGGCTCTTTTGCAGGTTACCAGACAAAATACTTTTATGAAAAACAAATTGCATAGCCTTACGCCACCCAGAAGAAAACAATTAGTTCGTGATTTATTCACTGTTTGGTAATGATGAAATATTGAAACTGTTGTTTGTTTTTAAGTATGTTATGCAAATTTTCTGTTTTGTCCTCCTGCTACATGTATATGTAATTCAATCTGACCTTGATTTCTTTTTTTCTTCCTGCAGCAAACTCCGCTCCAATCTCCAGCACATTATGGCCTCCTTTCATCAAGTCAGTCAGTACTATCGCTATGGCAACTACGTGATCTTTCGGGAAGAGATGATCAGACGATTGGCCGATCTTATCTTCACAAAAGGTACGTCAGCTCCCGAGAGAGAAATCGGCATAAACAATGGAAGCGTGGAAAGTACATCATTGAAATAATGATTAACAAACAACTAAGAAGCAACTTCGATTAATAAACAAACAAAAAATCGAGTAAACGAAAAATAAATAGAGGGAAATAATATAATCAGAGGTATGTATGGAAGAGAAAATTATTGAAAAAGTAATTTGTAAACAAACAAAGGAAAACACCAGGGGAGTGGTTCACAAAGATCCTAAGATTAACTTATCTCTAAGTTAGACTTAACAATTATGGAAAGCCATTAGCATCCTTGAAAATGTTTTGTAAAAGTTATTTTAAAAGGCATAAAATGATGATTCAAATCATTCATGTTTTCTATTATCATGGGAGAATTCATGTTCTTGATGTGGATTTATAAACAATCTAAAATCCTTGATTTTTCGCTTTTTAATATATTTTATTTTAAGGCTACAAATGGCTCTCCATAATTTTTAAGTCCAACTTAAAGATAAGTTCAAACTAGGATCTTTGTGAAACACCCCCAAGATGATGAAAGAATTTTGTGCAAAAGCAGATATGGGTAAGGTAGACAAAAGGTGGTAGAATTTTAAGCAAAACAAGAACATGATTACAGATGGTAAAGGGAAAGAGGAAAAGAGGGAGAGTGAGAGAGGTAGAGAATGGAAGAGATAGAGAATTAGAGAGAGAGAGAGAGAGAGAGAGAGGGAGAGAGAGAGAGAGAGATAGATAAAGACAGACATGCAAGTAGAGAGAGAGAGAGAGAGAAGGAGATAAGTAGTGAGGTGAAAGAATAAGGCAGGAAGGGATTGCATTGTGATATAAGCATTAGGCAGAAGAGAATCCTGCAAGAGGAATTAAGAAAAAACAAAATTGTAGGTTATTGGTCCACTTCAAGTATATTCTTTCAATGTCCTTGCCTTTCTTCCACAGAGAGCATCAAGACGCAACTGGAGGAGATGGAGGTGAAGCAGGAGGCGAGGGTGGAGCGAGCCAGGAGACACATCCACAAGAACAACCACATCTTGCATCCCAACTCCAACTCCACCACCAACAACACCACCACCACCACCACCACCACCACCACCAGCAACACCACCACCACCACCAGCAACACTACCGCTACCAATGGGAAGAGTAGTAGCGAAGGAGAGGATGACGGTGGGAAGGAAAGAAGGAAGGAGGGGACGGAGGAGTCGGCGGGAGATGCGGAGGAGCAGGAGCAGGAGATCGTAGCGGAGCTGAAGGAGTACGCCCGGAAGCGGGAGGAGCTGGAGGCGGTGGAGAAAGCGATCAGGGAGATTGAGGTCATCCTGGAAGCTGTTACACCTGCTCTGGTAAGTAGAGTTGGTTGGTTGGTATTACCTGACCGCTTGGAGAGCATGTGTGTGCTTGTTAGTAAGCAACCAGGGGACTGACGGCTTTAAGTCCTCTCAGAGGGACTTTGTTGTGAGGATTAATGCCTTACGAAAGGGGCACTAGTGCATCAAATTGCTTTCGAACCTGGTTCTCCCAGTTACAAGACCACTGCTCCACCACTGAGCCATTGTATCTTCCCCAAGTAGGGCTTGAAAATGATGATGATGGTGATGATAATGCTGATGAGGATGGTGATGGTGATGATGGTGAGGTCAAGGGTAAAAGTTAATAGTGATGATAACAGTGATGGTGAAAATTGTGATTATGGTGGTGATGATGATAGTGATTATGTTGATGGAAGTGATGCACATGTAATGCTGCTACAGATGATCTTTAAGATAAAATGATTCACGTCCCATGTCTCTAAAATACTATACTATACTATAATTAGATACTAACGGGGCTTACATGGTGATTATGTTAATGATCACAGTATTTCAAAAATGCTTTACGTCTGTTATCTCTTAAACCCACAGAAAAAGAACAAGAAGATGGAGATGAGGTACCGTCGTCTAAAGGAACGATACTCCGACCCCCAGACCAATAAGCCCAAGCCTGCCCCTGCGCAGAACATCCATCAAGAGGGTTACTGCAGTGATGAGGATAAGTGTAGGCAGCCTCACAAATCAAGGCTCAGGAAAAGTAAGATCAAATACATCTTTTCTGATTTGTGTATGTTTCAAGACATGATACTATTTTATTGAAGAAAAAATGTAAATCTGCAAATTTACATAGTTCTCTTATGAGCATGTAAAAAATGACATAGATGCCTTCCCTGGACTGGAAAAATTCTCAAACCAAAAGGATATTTATCGTTTTCTTTGACGGCGTCACTGTGCAACACCCTCTAAACAGTAAATTCTGCCAACTATTTTTGAATTTATCCAACCGTTTGTCCATGAAAATAAGACATAAGACAGGCGTTTAAAAATTGTCAACACTTAAATGTCTGGAATGGTATATAGAGCCGATTCATTGCTTTGTGAGGATTTACATTCACCTAAAACGTAATTAAATTGTAATAACATAGGTGGGAGAATCAAGGAATTGATCAGATCAGTTTTTCCCAATTTCTATCAGTAATAATGGTTGTTTTTCACTCAAACTTTCAGATTATCTTTAATTGCACATCTACATTAGCATTGAAGTCACTACCTTAGCACCATTTTCTCTCATCTGAACAATGTTACAAAGTCCCAGAGCAATTTTTGCTGGAGCAAATGTCACCTATACTATAGGCTATCATCCATTTTTATTTGTTTGTATTCAGGGAGTTCTAGTCACTCGGAGATGGTTGAAGAAACCAACTCCAACAACGACCCCAACGCCCCCTACCAGCCCCAGATAGTCCAAGCCATCAACCCTCGCAGGTTCGATCGCAGTCTACGAACCCTACACGAACTATGCAGCTACGGGGCTAAGGAGGGGCTCAACAGGTTAAGAAAACTGCTGAAGGTAGGTCATACATGTACATGTATGCACACATAGCTTCATTTACTATCCTGACTGTGTATTAAAACCTGTTCTATTGATTCTCAACACATTTCACACACCACTGTACAAAACTCAACTGATTTCACTCAAAATCGGTACTTTAGTGACAATTGATGACACCTAAATAGCAGTAAAATACAATTTTTTGAACTCACCGATGTTAGAAAGAATAATTCAAAAATTTAAATCGCGAGTCTACTGTCAAACTTGCTTACAGCCACATCAGCATCATTGTGTGCATTTGTGTGTTATTTATGTATTGACTATTCATGTGTGCAATTTCTGCCTATTAGCATGTAGTGCAGTGCTAGAGGTCAATATGCATTAACATTGACTCTCTATGCTTTGCTGGAGTGGGTCATATGGTACATTAGATTTATTAATTGCATTTATACGGTCCTACTCCTACTACATGTACAGTGCATGTGCTTCGGTAGCCATTGCCAAAATGAGTTCTCCAACCAAGGACCCAGTACTATTTCTTTATTCTTACCCCCTAAACCTTGACCTAACCACAAGCCCAATCCCATCCCTGACCCTAAACCGTAATCTTTGACTAACTACATCCTGAGCGAATGTCACAAGAGCAAAGGTCAGATCACCTTATCTACGGCTAAGCCTAATCTACAGCCCGGTTGCAACCATAACCCTAAACTGAAATTGTTGACCAAATTATGTTCATGAAAATGTATGATAAAAAAAGAAAAAAAAGATGCAGAAACCAATAAATCAAATCAAATCAAAATCAAATCAAATACTTGCCAGAGTAGGTGTTGAATCCCCACATGTGCGTCAATGCAAATCGATCAACCTGTTCTTCTATTTGTTTATGTATAGCGTTACTGCTCATTCTCTGCAATCTCCAACCTCTTGTAGAGCTGTCTCAGTATCTCCATTACTTCCCTTTTCTTAAAAGCATGTTGGTGAAAGACTGCTTTATACATGTACATGAAGCAATCAATAATACTCATAATAATACTCAGTTTATAAATAGCGCTTATTACAATCACTAAGCGCTTCCAAACTTGAAGATCATTACCCCGGCTTTAGCTGTGCTGCCATTAAGCCACTCTAGCATTTCAAAGAGATAATTCCTGCCAGGTACCCATTTACATCACCTGGGTTGAGTGGCAAATGTAGATCAATGTCTTGCCGAAGGACATGAGTGCCGCGGTGGGCCTCGAACCGCGGACCTTGTGATCAACAGTCCGGCGACTTAACCACTTGACCACAGCAGCTCTACTATGTATGAGTTGGAGCGTGGAGTCATGTTTTCTCTCTTTTCGTTCTATTTTTTGATAGTTTTACTGCCGAGATGCAAACATTCTTTTCCTGGAGAAGCAGGAGTCCCCCCTAGTGGAGCCGTCCGTCTCCCTCCTCACGATAGGGAGAACCGTCACTCTTAACTTCCTCAACGCCATCAACCTGTGAGTATATATTCCAGTGTGTGTGTAATTGGGGTTTTACAGAAGTGTATCTCAATCAGATAGTATTATTTACGTCTGGGGACCAACCTTTAAAGGGATCCGGTAACTTTGTCTCAGATCCTTTAAAAAAGTCCTTGATTTAGCTAATGCTGCAATGATAACTATAAACCTTTAGTTAAGTCAGTAACCCCATGACTTTTACAAGCCGATCGCCTGTCTGATTATTAAGATATTTATGATTGGTAATAGAAATTTAATTTTTCGTTTTCCTAACCGTTTTGTATAGCACCACAGTCTATTGGGGAAAATGAATATGGTAAAACCGGTCACTCAAATATTTAACTTTTTTGAGGCACTTCATGATCGTTTTGAAGTGCAATTTTTTTAGGGCTTCAATATTACACCGTACCACAGACACCGATGACATGAAGAGCCATGCATCTCAGTTTTAACATTGTTAAACGATGCCTTTAAAATTATTTCCTGGTTGTTTTCTATCTTGGCTTTGTAGACAATGTATAGCAAGCTGTCAATGGGAACTCCATGGCCTTGGCAGGAGGTCCCAAGGCATGGTGAGTAGAGCATACAACTTCCTGGGCCCCATTTCACAAAAAATTGTCATCAGTGACATGTGACAGTTTTTGTTATAAGCTACTGAAATCCTTGCTTCTGATTGGTTATCAGCAGAATTGTCATTGATTTCTGTCATTTGTCATTGAAAAAATGCTTTGTGAAACAGGTCCCAGTTCTAACTTCCGCTAAAACTGAAGAAAGTGATACAGACTTTTATGGTGGTTGACTAAATACTGTTTTATGGAATAACTTGCTAAAATATCTAAGAAATATAGAAACATATGAAAAGTTCAGGAGGAATTTGAAAACAATTTAGCACTTAGCATACTGTGTACTTTATTCTGTTGTAGTCAAAACAAAAATGCTAGTCAAAATGTTTTGCTGAAGTTATTTGATATCTGCTACCATTTTCAGATAAAATTATATATCACACAGAACTTTGTTTCCCACTGGTGATACGACTGGCATTTTCATGTTTTTATTGTTTGTTAATATGTTGTTTTATATAAAGATAGCTCTTGTTCTGGTTTTTTTAAATATGTTTATTGCATGAAATGAGATTAACATTTTCAAAAGACTTCAGAGTGACAATCATATGGCAATAACTCCTTCTTTTGACTCATGTATGCAACTACATGTATATTTACAAAACGTTGGAGGCAGAAAATAATTTTGAGTATACTAATTGTAAATTTAAGAAGAAGCACTTCGC